CTATCTTCAGCAATCCCTTTATCTGGAGTGAAAGATCTTTTTTTTAGTGTTCTTTCTATTCAATAAACCCTGTAGCCTTCTTAACATATGTGAATATATTTTTCCAGCTAAGCTCTTCTACGTTTAAAGAGCCTTAAAGATCCTGTGGGTTCATATGAGAAAACATTTATTGATGTATTTGCAGCGTAGCGTGATCGCATTTAGCGACGGTGAAAAAGTTCTGCTGTTAAGTCTGTTTGTGACAAGAAACACCTGAAGTATCAATCAATCTTTAGTTCTCATATTTAGGGGATACGCAAAGGGACTTTGGAAAGAGGCATCACAACCGTTCTTTATTGGCTAAAGCCACAAAAGGAAAGGGAAAAAGTTGTGGGTTTGGCCAAACAGTAGTTAAGACGTGATACTTTAAGTCGTGTTTCCTTTCAATAGCTCTATATCGCCTAAATTATACTCGTCTTAGGAGGAAAAGCAATGCGGTTTGCCAGATTGCAAGTAGAAGGCTATATATTATGGGAACGGAAGAAATCACCATTAGCTCTAGACATCTAAAAGGGATAGAGAAACAAGGGTCATGATAAATCCCAATCTATGTCTAGAGGTTTTGAAGCGAAAAATTAGGCTTTTTGATTGGAGGTTACGTATGGCAGCGATAAGGAACAATCATCTATGAGTAATCTTAGAGAAAATATATTTTGAGTTGTGAAGCTATTACTGTCAATTGCCAGATGCATTCGGCCATTCCTTTAGGATACCTACTGTCCTAAAAAGACTGTTTTGAGATTTTGAACCCTTTTAAAATTTCTTGGGTTAGATTCTAGGCTGGGTTAGATATGGTTCCCTATATCTATTTCTCGATAGCTGTAGGCAAAAATCATATGAAACATTGTCAATATATCTTCTAACACTTGGATCGTAGTATTTTGAAGTGTGCAAACATTACGAAAAAGGAAACTAAATGAAGTACATCAAATGGGGGAGGGGGCGGGGGAAAAACTCAGTAAAAGTGGATGTTCTTCATAAAGTTTAGAAAGCAGCACTTTCTTTCAGATTGCCTCCAGCTCTAATGGCCCTCTTGACAAGAGTATTTCTTGGTGATATCATGAGACCCTTGACAATGATTAAGATGCAGGTAATAATTTCTGCATCGCGAACAAAATAAGCTAAGGAAGCCAATGGAGAGGTTTAGTTGAAGCTTGAATTTTAACTGTGTCAAGTAATGTAAGAATTTATAGGATCAAAAGTTGATGCAATTCAACTATTGTGAACTATACCAACGGTTTGGCTTCGGTTTATAACACCAGATTTTCGCATCCGCATGCAATTTTGAACCAAGGAGCGTTTTGACAACGGTACGAGTGGTTTTGGTATAAACGCTTCAACAAAAAACGAGTTCAGGCACGGGTTCTGTGATGAAGTTTTATTTGCACAACATTTGTTATTTCATTTAAGAATTGGGTTTGGATTTGTGTTTGTCGAAAGTGGCTACATAGCAGAGAGGAATGAGAAGGTCGAGCCTCGATATCAAACCGTTGTCCTTTATTGTGTAGTTCTCAAGCTTTACCTTTGTTCAGACACCCCTGTCAGATAAGAGCAATGACTTGATGGGTGCCAGTGCAGTTTATAGAGGACAAGCCAATGCTTTATGATACACTCAAAGTAGCTGCCTTGGTTGACCATGACCTAGCATAGTAAGTAACAAACCACACCTCTTCCTTGACTGTAGCCAGTTACAGCAAACCGACAGCACTATATAGGCGCAAGATACTTATAAATTGCGCCGAAGCACGTTGATATATGATTTGCTATTAACGAGAAAACCTTGTTTTGACTGCGAAAAGTATGACATGAAGACAAGAAGTGCCCCCGTAGAGTATGAACATCAATGTGGTTGGAAGGCAGCAGATCCTGCATTGCCCAGAATAGCGATGAGTTACTACACCGTTAGTACTGCTCAGGAGAGAATGATTTATACTACGATGCAAGAGTGACTTAAGCACATCTATAAAGATTATTTTGGATTTGAAAGCAATAAAATGGTATTTTCGCTCTTGACCTCATAAAAGAGTCACGTCATATACGCCGCTGTCAGAACTTGCTCAAGTAAACGCAATGAGGTATACCTCATTGAGTAAACAGCACTGCTGCCGCTGCTTTGGCTCAATAATGTCGCAACGTTTTTGACTAGCTTTGATTTGTCGTGAGATTTTTGCATATTGAAAAAAATTGGGAATCCTTGAGGCATGATTAGTCGTCAAAATAACATCAAATCATTCATTTCTTCAAAGACATCTCTTAGTCTATTGTGCCTCCTCTAGCCTTAGTAATTGGTTTTGTTACATTTATGGTCCTGCCCATACCAACTGCCAATCTATATGGACACATCTAGAATTTAGAAACCAAAGTAGTTTATAAATTTAACGTTAGAAGCAAGGGGTAAGCTAGCAAAAGGGTAGGAATATTGAAAATTTTCACAATCTCTAAACATTTTCTATTCTCCATTATTTTCATCAAGAAGTCTACAACCCCTCTTTCGAAGGCCTTCCACGAGATTTCGGAATGGTATTGCGACCTTTAAGGTATCTCTAAGCCTATAATATCTCAGCGTTTTTTAGAAATCGATTTTAATTGGTACAGTGTTTATATGTTGTGGACCAAATGTTGATCTCCAGCCATATTCAATATCCTGCTTGATAAATGGCAACAAATCTACTCACTATGTGAAGCCATTTGCTGTTTGTATTTTTTATAATTTCTTAGCAATACATTGAGGTAAATATACTAAGTATAGAAAGATACATACCAATGTTTAGCCTTTTTCCAAGCTCCAGTTTTGAGAAGAAATCATTTTCAACTTGATTTGCAGATTAGTATCCACGAGTTGTAAACTTGTTGACTGCAATAAAAGTGACTGAAATCTGTGAAAATTTAAAATGATAGCCTAAACGAGGACTGTAACTTGAAAAATAAAAAAAACTGCTATCCTTGACTAAGTCACCAAATCTTGTCCGGAACGTGACAAACGACGGTAAGGAGAAATGAGATAACGAGATTCTACAACGTAAGGTTCTGTTATTGTTTCAACAAAACTAGTTAAGAAATTGAGATTAAATACCACAAGACTAGTATAAAATATAAGAATCAATTACTAAATGCACAGTAATGCCCGAAAAATCGGCTTTGCTAACCCTCTTCATGCAGCGCAAATATATAACAGACGTATGCTAGCTTAGTACGCTTAGCAATTTCTGAGACCTTTTAGTGTCCCTTGCACTATGTCCTCCCCATTTTCGTTGTCAATGAATAAGCGCTGGACACCTACTCTAAAATGTTCGTGGCCTAACTGTGGGCCATTATTGGGCCTAATCCAGAACAGTTGATAATTAACGCACTTACGAAATAAACAGTCACGTTGGCATTTAAGTTATGCATCGAGATTGGTCCAGTTCAAAAGGAATATTGCTTAGCCTACCTGTGCATCAGTTTATCCTTGAATGTTGTGAAAGCATATCGTGGTGAATTGGTTGTTTTTGAATCCAGGCATTACCTCGTATGGATGGCACTAAAGTCATTTGTCTTCTTGCGTTGCCCAAATAAAGTTTGCAGTTGAATAGGGCAGTTAAGACAGGCCCTGATAAACCTTTGCTGTATTAACAAGCCACTCTCGTACCCTACTGCAATTTTTTCAGGACTTCAAGCACAAACCTGTAGTAGAACATAGTTGGCCGTCAAATGCTCCGCGAATGCTAACATTGACAAAAGACAAATCAGTTAAATTCCAAGCCCCTTGTGACATTCCATTACCTTCGTTCATATTGAACTGTATTGGGAATAAAAAGCACTGCAGAGCAATTAAAACATCAAGTTCTACCCAGTTTTATCGCTCTAGGTTTAAGATGACAAAAATTTAGCAAGGGATTTGTTGAGAAATTAGTTATCGTAGAGTTTTCATCAGATTCTGAATTTTTGCTTCAATTTTTATTTAGTATTCTTTGCATCGCTTTCAAATCTAGTGAATAAGTCTTATCAACGTTTTTGCAAGCTTTCAAAATACCCCCAGTGGCAAGAGGTGAACTTCCTTGAAAAACATAAAAAGAAAGTTTTTAGATTATTAGCGATCATGCAATTCATAAGTAAAAGAGCTTTGCGCTGTTACTGGTCTTTGTCATGTAAACTTCATTTCAGAACTATCTTTTTCAAATAATGTTAAACTTCGAGTCCTACTTCAACTAGAATTATCGAGCTTTAGTCCAACTTCACTGTTTGGTTGTTAACGTGTCACACCATCTCTTTCTGCATTTTACGCCTGTAAAACAATGTTCCACTGCTACTCTAGTGTCTCTAATAGAAGGGGGAGGTTATAGAAGGGAGGGGGTGCTCATTCCGGCCAATTTTCAATAGAACGGAGTGCTAATAGAAAGGGGGTGGTTATGTCGACCAGTTTTCAATAGAAAGGGGGTGCTAATAGAAGGGGGTGTTAATGTCGGTCAGTTTTCAATAGAAAGGGGTTGCTAATAGAAAGGGGGTGTTCAGGTTGGCCAAATTTCAATAAAATGTCAGCAAATTTTGATAGCAAAGGGGAGCTAATAAAAAGAGTGGATGTTGGTAAATCTTTTAATTAAAAGGCAAAGGAAGTAGTAGAATGGTGACACTGGTTACTTGATAATGGATAGATGGTTAGAGTTAAAGACAGAAAAACATAACAAGGGGAATTATGACAATTGAAGAAATAACTACATAACATAACAAGGGGAATTATTGACAAGTAAAAATTGCATGTTCTGGTCATGACAGATTTGTAAAATTTGATAAAGGAGGGGGGTGCTAATAAGCGATGGGGGAGGGCAAATTCTTCTGAAATTAAATACACGGGGGGGGGGGGGGGGCGTCCATTAGAGACACTTGAGTAGGCACTTATATAATGTCTACGACAATAGAGCCCTTTGGTTTAAGCATCTCTTCAAAAAACCAAGGTTGGTAAGCAAAGACGAGAGTGTGTTTTTTCTGGTAATATAATTTCATTTATTTATTTATTCTATTGCTCTTTTGAGCTACAATAAACTGCACGGCAGATTCTGTTGACAATAAGTAGATCATTGCAGAAGCAATATTAATCAGCGATTTTTAGCGATTCAATACGACCAAGGCATATTGTTTATTATAATGATATTTTATAGAAATAATGTATAGAAATATATTCAAGAAAATTGTGTCATGTTTAGTAATAATTCATCAAGAGCAGAATCTTACTGTTGCCAACATATTAAATTCTATATGGAATTGTTGTGTTGTAATTCTGGTATACTAAGCTAGGCATTTGTTTAGGGAACTAAATTGAATAACAATTATAGTTCTGTGATCATGTTTAACAAGCAAATTTACTGCTATAAAAATGTAATTGCTGGATGAATAACTATACTATTATTGAGCTATCCGTCAATAGACGTTTGACTGTACTTGAAGTAACAGAATCAACTTAAAGTAATATAAATTAAAGTTCCAAATAACGAAACAAACTAAAAGCTTAAATCGAAGCATTAACGAAAATGTCGGGTATAACTAAATATGGTCTCTATATGTTCGGCAGTGCTCGACAAGATCGACGACACTGTGATGATGATTATTTTAATTGTGAGAATGAATCAAGTTGATTGGTCAATATGACAATAAATGATGGTGATTTATGATAATTTATGCAAATCAAGTCTACTATGATACTACAAAACAATGGTAATATAAATATGACGAAGCTTATTATAAATAACTATTTCTTAGCAACTGTATATTATGGGCACAATTTTGTTAAGGTTTAGAGAAAAGTTATGTATTTGGTTGAGAGATTTAAGAACACGTATTTATTAAAATAAATTGTTTGGGCTTTGGTTGGCAGTTAGTGACAAGATCGTGTATCTCTTTTGCTGCATCACACAAATGTACGCATATTTGTTGGGACTTATAGTTAAGATTTGATGAAATAATTCTAAACGAAAATGTTTTGCTGAAACCTTCCATACAATCTTTAATAGGAGTAGCTCAATTGCATTGGAGTTTGACTCATTCAGGTCACATTACTGGAAGTGTATTGACTAATTTTTTGAATATTATCTATCCAAAGCTATTATCTGAGCCTCGATATATTACGTTGAACTAACTGAGGTTGAGAAGAGTGATGTCTATTATTCCCCATCGATGTAAATAGATCTTAACAATTCAACCAAACAAAACTTCACAATCTGTCAATATTCCTAACTTCCATCACATGGCGTGTATAATTTCCTAGATTGTCGTCAGATATTCTAGAAAATCAATTTCTTGGCCGTTTTGTCAGCTGATAAACCTATTTGTGTGATTTCGCCAGAGAAACATTTAGCCACCGCAAATTGATTCTTACATTAAAATTACTAGAAATTATTTGGTGTTGAGTATCCGATTACTTGCCACAAGATTCAGTGAAGACGTGACGGGCCAGGTTGGATCTAAAACTAGTTAAACGAGAGCTGGTAAATTTTTCTCAAGTCAACACATTAGGTAGACCAAAAGCAAAGCTGATGTAACAAACCTTTGATCCTTAAAAGGAGTGCGGCCTGCCTATTTTCGAGAAAACACGTCACAAGAGGTGAAATTAAAACTGGAAAAGTTAGTCTATGCCTAAATTAAACCAGCTATTTTTGTCGTAATAAAGTAATAAAAGAAGAGAATCTGCACCTTTAAATACACCTCTTCTGTGCCAGAAGTTTGAAAAATATCAGCAATTCACAAAAATCTATCAGGATGTTGACCCTGCAAGAATTGTTGTTCGGGATACGTTTCTGGGTGCGAACAAACGTTATAATTGCTGCTACGGTCTCTCTCTCGCTCCCCGCCATCATTGCCCCAAGCACCTTCCATTCGCCAAACACTGAAGGCATAGCTAAGGCGCTCGTGTGCTATGTAAAAACAACTGGCAGCAGCGTTTGGGTTCATTTCGTCATTGCTCAAAATTTGACATAGAAAATCAATATACTTGGTCGCAAGCCGTAACGTCTGAATTTTCGACAATTTGTCTGAAGGTAGCGTCGGTATTATACGGCGTAACGCATTGAATGCGTCATTTAAGGCTTGCGTACGCTGTCGCTCTCTGACATTAGCCAGTGTTCGATGGTCGTTACCTTCGTCTTCCGATTTGCTTGTCTCGTTACTTGTTTCGCTTCTTAAACTGTTGCTGCGATGCCTTTTTCGGCGGACCTAAAACGAATGCGCAAAACGTAAGAGTAAGATGATGGCTTCTGCTCATATCTGCTCATTCACATAGGAGAGATTCATTCTAGATGAAGTGGCATCGAAAGATTTGCACGCGTAATAATCAGAGCATATAGCTACAATTTGTACTAGGCGTTTCCTAAAACAAATCTTTACATTAGTCAACCAGTTATCTCTTATATTATCAATGACTTATTGATTTCCCAGAAAAATTCCCTCTGAAAAATTTAAAATGGAAATACGATGTTGCAAGATAGAAGCAGATGCTTGATATAATTTTTCTCCTAAAAAGTCCTGTACTCTTTGGTGTCATTAATTCCTTTTTTTACTGCTAGGAAGAGTGCAAAAGATGGAGATGGTCCATGCTCATGGGAGTAAAGAAAAGCATTTTTAAACAGTCTTGAAAATTGTTGCCTTCAGGAAGAGCGATTTAGCTATCAATTCAATCGAAAAATTGATTTATTTTAGTTTCTGTTAGATAGTTTCAGGTTTTATCAAAATACCCGAGTTTAGCAATCAATCAGGAGGCTGCTTTTCAGACAGTAGCCAGCAAAGTGGACAGTGAATCTAGTTTTGAAAGGGTATAGACAACTAGAAAAAATTTTATGCTGCATGGCTTTCGACAATTTGCAAGGTTGGATCAAGCAGCTCCAATGAGGTTGATCTTTTCAAAAGACATTGAAACGTTTTAAAGTTGCTTGCATTTAGTTTCATGATTCATCATCTTAAAAATTTTCAAATATTTTTAGCGTATATCAAGAAATAGAGATTTTATAAGCTCTAATTATATCAATTTACTTAAATATTTTGAGCCCTAAGGGTAAAATTGATAATTCTTTAACAAAAATGTCCATCATGCAAAAAAACTTATTTGAAGATCTTTAAAGCAAGAGCACATGCCTTTACTAAGAATAAAACGAAATCTGCTGGAGATTTTTAAAATAGAGTTTTCTTTGTCTCACCCAGAAACTTAATCTGAACGAGAAGTCTAGGCTGTAAGTTATTCAATCGAGAAAAAAGATGATATGACAGAAATAGAAAGAAATGGATAACGAACCAGTTGTATTGAAAGCTACATTGGAATAGTGCCATTAACGCCTTCTGGAAGCAATTCTACTTTCACCCTAATGCATTAAGCATGTATTGCTTTTGATGTATAAAGGAACTATAATCTATCAATTCTCGGTATAATCATTGAAAACTAATAAATGGTTTTTAATTTTGGCTTTACAATGCAGTAGTCCCGCTAAAGATATGCCAGCTATTAGTATATTATTGCAAGATTTTGCAAGATTGAGCTTAAGTTAAAAAAATCATTTTATGAGCTAATGTGTACAAGCCACTTTCCTTGCCTATATAGACAAAATAAAAACACACGATGTAATGACTATTTCTAGATTTTTATGACAAAATTTCGCTGTTTTTGCAGCATTGGAAGAATTGTTTGTTTATACAACGATGCACAGTTGAGCTGAAAAAGAATCGTAGTTCTACTCACCTCGAAAGGTTGAACTGAATTTGGCTGAAAATCGTACGACATGAAGTTCTGGGGTCTAAAGTCATAACCTGAGAAGTCATATTGTCTGGCGTTGTTTGTATCGATAAAGGGTGATTTCATTTGACTGGCAAAGTTCGTAGAGGCCATGGGAAATTTGCTTTGTGACTGCGCCGAGGCACAGACGAACTCTTGAGTCAAGGTGATGTACTCTTCGTCTGTTAGTGGTCTTTTATGCGCATATTTTTCATCGTTAAGAATCATTGTTGGGAAACTGTCAGGATCGAAAGCTTCTTCTGTCCACATTGCTGCTGTTGATATGTATTCGGTATTTTGGCAGTTCAGTGATGATTGATTGCGAATAAAAGTCAAGCGTCCAAGCTTTGTGCCAAAATCTCTATGCAGCTTGATTCCAAGTCTCAAAAATCTATTTGCAAATGCTGTAGACTTAGTTGTGATACTCTGACTACTTTCTGAGATGGTCCCTATCAGACCTTTTCACTGTGCACGTTCTTGCCCCTATACGATTAAGTCAATTGCACTGACCCAGTCAGTTCTTCAAGTGACAGCTTTGCTTTGCTCCCTCTTCTTAAAACCCTTGTCTCCAGCAAATTGACAAGGTCCAATTCCTTCCTGTGTGAAATGGCCATAATTCTGAGCGTCGGTAGTTGGTTCCTTTGAGTGGAGGCGGGAGCATAATCCTCTATTTTCTGTCTATTGCGGGTGAAAATCGACTGATAGTTCACCGCAAAAACAGGCATTTCAGAATGATGCTGGACAATTTTCCATCAAGTGTGATTTACTGGCTATTAATATGCAGCTGTGTCATCCTTTTAAAGGTCTTGATCTGATCGGAATATAGACCTGCTCTAAGTCTATTTCGTTCTTGAGAGAGGAGTAGTTGTTTCCTTCCTATGGACTTCTGCGAAGGAGACGGACGAAGAGGGGAGGCGAAATAAATAAACGCACAATATTTAGTTTAGCTTAAAGACGATGCTGTTTAGTGCTTAAATCAATGTAGCAAAGATGACAAAGGTAGAAAAAACAAAAAATGGAACCATCGGATGTAAAACTTTTCTATGTTTCATTAATGAAAAGTTTAGCAATTTGGCCCAATTTAGCTTCAGGAATAATAAACATTCTAAAAAGCTTTTTTAACAATGACTAAAATTTTTTTATAATGCGTATAGGGGCAAGAGCTCAGTTCCAATTTCCAAAATACCAAATGATTGTATGAGCCTTAAGAGCAAGAGACTTAGTTTTGGAGACAAGCCATGGAAACGAAAAGGCGTTTAGCCCCTCAATATATCCTACGCAGCCAGGATTCTTACAAACCTCAACCTTTTAATGCAGCAATCCCAAAATGGACCAGAGAAGTTATCAATTCAAGGCGTTCAAATTATTTGACAATCTTCACGTACATGTCCTTGTGGTACTTTTTAAGTAGGGCTCCATTCGTTGTCTTCTCATGTTTGCAGCTCATTTGATACTCAGAGTTACAAAAATAAAAGGCGGAAACTTTTCTGAAGAAAGGCCAGGAGACAGGAGATATAATTACAGTTTGAAGCATTCTTTAAATACCAAAATGATTCCAAGGTGATTTCAATGTTGTTAGGGATATTTCATTCGAGGAGTCTCCTTCAGCTTTCCCCCGAGGAGCCCCTTTTTAGTCCTTTAATGACTTTTTAGTGACCCATAATCAGACGCAGAACGAAATCAAAGAGTATTTATGACCATTGGTGTCTTCGCTAAATTCAAGATGGTGCAGTAATGAACCTGGTGTTGCAATATTCTGGATCAAGAATAGTAAAGAATTTGGAATTTTAGAACCAGAAGCCAGATCTAAATAATTCTTTCTATTAGGGAAAGATTCCTTCAGCTGCTATTATTCTAGGTTTCCCAATTTATTTTAGACTTTGGTCTGTGTGTCCAAATAAAAGTTTTTACTGCCAGGTTTTTTCACCAATTTTCTTGCAGAGTTATCTGCAAACAGGGCGCAACCTTTAAGCATAACTTACAGAACAGGCAGACAGAAACTATTTGTCATGATTTCTACCCGGCTGCAGTCAAATGGTTCTCTGTTTCCATTGCCACTTTCGATATCATTTTCATGCCTTTACTTGTTTGGCTGCATCCCTATGCTCGAGGTTTAGGAGGAATTAAGCGAAATTTGGATGGGTATTTTATTCTCTTAGGGAAGGGTGATTGCAAAGATCGAAAGTAAGTGATCGGATACTCTAGTACTTCGGCTATTTAAATCACCAATTTATTCAATAAAGTATGAAAATAACATCACATATTCGCAAGACGATTTCACAGGGAAGGTACATTGAAACCTTGTGGCCTTAACATCAAACACAAAAGCATTACATGAAAACAATCAACAAACAGTTTACAACATTGACCGCTACAAGCTACAAAATACAATAGGGTAGCGCTTAAACTACAGGGTTCAGGTAGGTGCGGAGGGTGGAGGAGAGAGTGTTGTTTTGGTAACGAGGGATAAAAATTTTGCAGAAATATTTTAAGAAATGTTTCGCATTTCCAAAACTTAAACATGCCAAAAAACCATGAAATACACTTACAGAGGCAAAATGCCCTAAACCGACGATTTAAATATGGCCAAACAGGCCCTGTTTCTGTCCAATATCTGCAATTTGGTCATGGTTTGTCTATATTTCAATGAACTCAGACAGAAGACAACAGTTACTCATATAAGCAAAACTGCGATCTTTCGCTGGTCAAACTTCTTCAGGTTTTTGATAGATTTAAACACTTTGAACATTTAAAACTGTCTCTTGGTGTCTTTTAGGTTATCTAGCAGATTAAAAGTTCCCTAAAATATATTGCTATGTCATCATCATTCAACCACTACTTTTTATAAAATTACACTTTGCTGTTAGCAGACAGCTTAGATGGAAATAGAGACATTGGATTTCATAGAAAATAACTTAAGGGAAAAAGGGCAGTCCCCATTTGCCTTCTGTTCTAAGACTTAGAGTCTTCGACTTGAATGAGAAGATGTATAGCGGGGGATTCTATTGGCGGATATATTTACACAGTGGTAATGAAAAAAGGGAAACTGATGGAATACACTTGGCGAAAACCATCTCTACGGCGAAAACCGAATCTGGGAAACCATGGACTTGTCGCTAAATTATTCACTCATTTAATGTCATTCAAACAAAATTCGACAAAAAGGTGACCAAAAGCAAAAATATGAGAAAGCAAACAAAATATCACGGGTAACGAGAAGGCGCTTCACGGACAAAGGGTCTTGTGATGTGGAATCGAAGTTTCTATTTGCACCGGCAATTATCAGGCAGTTTTACAGTGGAAACAAAAAACATTCAGTGGGCATATAAAATTGCGTAATGCCAAGTTTAAACCTGATATATGCACAGGCATGTTACCGAAAGCACTTGAATTTTAAGAACTTATGTGTAGACAAGGTTTTCAGTTCCCGGTTTCAAGGAGAATCAAATAGGATTTCTAGATCTGGCTTTGGTCATTAGGCCTATTTCTCAAAAGCCCCTTGCCCCGGTCCTGGCAAAGCCCCCTCTAAAGAATAGAAAATAGGACCATAATCGAACAGATGTCAAAGAAAGCACTGAATCACTTGTTTCAATATATTTTAAAGATGAAAAGGGGCTGAATGGTCATGTTAAGTTTCCTTGAAACATTAGCCTTTAGAAGAAATGTAGTGTAGACAAAAATCTGGGTCAGCTCCGTCGACTGACAGTCAATGACATATGGGTTAAGACAGACGTTGAGCTAGAAAAAGCTATATTTGCGCTTACAGCAATTGCCAGATATAGCTTAATGGCTTCTGAGATTAACTGGCATGGGAATCAAGTGGCAGAGTGGGAGGCGTCAAGACTTTCCTATCCCCTATTAAGTTTCCTTTCACACGTAATATTTTCCTGCACAGTCAAACACTTAGGTTGGAAAAAAGTTCCAAACGACAGGTTTAATGAAATCTGACCTTAAGACGTGATCGTGTGATCGAAGACAAAAGCATTTAGTTGTGGTCAAGGAATGAAATCGATCCTCCTTCAGGTCTACTCGAGATGAAACAACGGCCTCCATTGCAAGGCTTTGATGGGACAGGGAGTGCCGATAGGTAGAAAAAACGCGGTTTGTCACTCTGTTAGAGCTGCTTTGCCATAGTCTGGGGTGATCAACGAGACTATGAGAAAGGTTAACTAGTAAAAAAAACGGATACGGCTTAGCTATGAGAAGTTTCAGAACAGTTGAAAAATCCCACCAAGAAACACAAGAGAGCAAAATATTTATAATCAGGACCGGTGACGCTAACTTCAGTTTTCAAAGGTGAATTCAGCAGTCCTTCTCTCTTCAACTTATAACAATGTTGCTTTATTATAAAACAGTGATCTTTACTATAAACGGTCGATCTATTGATCATTTTGGGGACAATTTCTTATGAATGATGTCTTACAAATAATGCGTATATTTGCATAGACTATCAGCTTTTTTGGGGGGGGGAAGGGGGGAAGGTGGGGGTTTGAAGAAAGGTGATTTCAAGTAAACATGATACAAGGAAGAAAAATGTGATAAAAATTGCCCGAGGCTAGAGGAAGCTAGAGAAATTTTGCATAAAAGATGGACAATTAAAAGCAATGTCGAACTTGAAATGAAAGCACTTGACAGTGTTGTAAAGGTTGCATGGATGAGACTTTATCATAAGCTCAAGTTTGTAAAATTCTGGGAGGTGAAACAATATAACGCCCAGACCCTTCACGGTAATTAAGAATGAGAAGGACTGGCAGCTTAATAAAATGAAAAGAATTGCAATAGTATTATAATATAGTTCACTTTTAATCGCAATAGATTTTCATATGATCATATACTATAGACACTAAGATATTAGAATGAAATGATAGCACTTCTGACAGAAAGGACTGTGGACTTCAGGCAAAATTGAGGTCAGATTCTTGAAAATTGTTAGGATTTTAGGAAAGACTAGAGTTGAATGGTTATCAAAGCGATGAACATCTAGAATCGTTCACTGTCCCAAAAATAAAGATGTTTCGTTTCATTAAAACTTTTAATAGGCATTATCCTTGAACATTTGAAGCTCAAATAAAGCAAATACCTGTATTTAAATCTATCCACTTCTATCCATTCGATAAATGCGAATTCCAAGTAAGTCTCAAAAGACACTTAATAGAGGAGTGCATTCAGGGGAAAAGTCTATTTACAATGCATTAAGTTCACTTGCTTAAGTATACAATTAATCAGACACTATATCTGTACATATTTCGATCATATTACTTATAACTCTCTTCAAATGAGCAACAGTGGTTGCAATGCTGCTAATCTTATATGTTAACATATAAGTTTAAAGTTTGTACCCTGTAGACTATGTCGCAAAGAAAATTTATGAAAAAGTACTTAGACTCGGAGTCCGTGTCTTGCTTTGTCAAGGATGTCTTTGCGGATTTTCGGGTAGTTTGGCTGCTTTTCTAATACCTACAAAGAAAAAAGCAATGATAAACAAACAACTCTGATTTTTGGTATATTGACACATCTAGAAAATATTCAGCGTAAATTCGCCTTTCATGTACAATCTTCATCCAATACAATATCTTGAAAGCATTCATTTTCAAGTTCATAATGTTAGACAAATAGTTCTTCTATCTAAGCTTGATTTATACATTAAGAAATGTTTGACATCGATCAATTATATTTGATATTTTATAATCTTCTTGAATCAATTTTTTCATCAACAATAAGTACAGAAAATAATGTATATGAAATAATGAAAGGCTGACAATGCGATCACATTTGCATTCGAAAATGCAGTGTTTTGATTGCCATTAAGCTATTTCGTTATAGATAGAATAGGTAGTAGTATTATAGTTAGAAAGCTTGCATCGGTATTCCTTTGTAATATTTTGTGTTCAATGCTAAAATCGTCATTAAAGTTTCAGGGCCAGCTTTCATACTTGAATTAAATAAATTCAGATATCTGTAAGGTTATCAGTGGGAGGCTGTTAGGAAGCCTTTCTAAAATGAATTTCGCAAGAAACTCGAACGAGCTTCAAATAAATGTCAGGCCTCCTTCAGGCAAAAAAGATTGAAATACCTTGTGGCAGACGTCGATTGCATCAACAAATCGTTTGGCTTTCAAATAGTTGAATCCTAGCTTGTACCCTGAAAAAGTGAGGTATGTAGCCAAAAGCTTGAATGGAAAATTGTAAATACCAATGAGATTATAAATTCTGTACAGTAAAAAAGCAAGAAGATTGGTAGTAGTATTTTAAGGTATTAGGATCATATATTGGTTAATAGTGCATTCACTTGACACTTTCATCTGCAAAGTAACATAATAACAAAATATGTTGAATTGCAGATGGGTATTATTTAGACATGTACCATTTGAGACACCGATATCTTGAAATATCTTAGATAAAAATTTTGTTAGCTTCATTGCACCAATTTCTAAATATTCTTTGTTGTTGAATGATACAAAAGTTAATTAATGTGTAAAGAAACGTGAGCAAAATCTACATAAGCATTTTTGCATTTATAGATTAAATGCAAAAACATCTTTTCGTGGTAAAAAATTTAAAAATGGCTCTGAAAAGAGCAAACATTCTCAGTCATACTAAAGCTTTAGTATGACTCAAAATGTTTGATTTTTCAAAGCTATTTTTACATTTAATGCATTTATAATACAAAATGATGAAATTGCGCTGCTTACCAATGGCAGGATTAGACTCGTTGCAGTTTGTCCATGCATTTTCGTAATAATAGGCAGCATCTTTGTATGCTTGCTCCTTCTCCATAATAAATCCCATATATTCCCAAGCTTTGGTGCATGACTACAAATCAAACAGTTACAAACAATGTATAATATTGAATCAAATTTATTATAAAAATAAAAAATTTTGTATGATTCAAGAAAGGTTTAGATGTTGCAACGATTGAAACGAGTAATGTTTTCTTAAAGCTTGCAATTGAAATGGGTCTAAAGACTTCTTCGACTCTGCAAGTAATTTGCAACCAGCAATTTAGAAACTTTGTAATTTTTCAATTTTATGGAGATCATCACTATCAAAGTTTAATTTAAGCAAAAGCAGTTGATATATTATTTTTGTTTAAGGATAGCCTTTCTTGTTGATGTTAAGCTTGGTGAAAGAGAATATAAAATTTTATGACCGTTGTTTTTTTGAAAAGTATATCTAAAAGCCAATTTTTTTATCTTCTTACTCTTAAGCAATTGAGAATTTGAGAATTGCTTGCCGGTTGACAAAAACGATCTATCTTGACATTTGCAACAATCTTAGCAAAGATTGTAAAGATATATCGTTCTTTAAATCACCTGACTTCAGACAGAAATCTCATAGCAGCAGAGCGTTACATAAATATCAAAGTTGCTTTTCAAATATTGAAATGATGAGCCAAAAAGCATGGACAAACTGCGTACCTTGGTTTAGAAGTTAAAAACACAGGAGTAAATGATTTCCAATCTAACAGAAGAGGGTGTTGTCAAATACCTTATTGTATTGTAAACATTTCTTCAGCAGACCTTGGGCCATATCATATTTTCCACTCTGTAAATAAGAATAGCTTATCTGAAAATAGTATAATAGAAAAGCCAATATATGATTTCACATAAATATAAAATTTATTTCACGTGGCACCATTGGATATCATGTTGTTGAAACCCTACCGTACCTGTTCTTTAAAATTTCAGTAAGGGTTTTAACATCCAAATAGTAAATCTTATGGCAAGACTGCATGGTCAGAGGATGAAACTGCAGTGGGTGCATCATTACGCTGAGAAGGTCTTGACACGCAATATATCTCTGTTCTTGGCAGTTTAACAGTGCTGTTTTTTGCATTAATACAACTTCATATCGCTTACTGACCACAATTGCTTTAGCACTGTCTATGAAAATCTGGTGTGATACCAAGACTCAAAGCGATAAACTTCTAAATGCATGAAAAATGCCATTACTACCATTTTTACAAGAATATTGGCGACATAATGCTATCTGATATTTTGTTGCCAAACAGCTCAGATGGTTGTGCAAATACGTTACGGTTACAAAGACTTTTTTTCTGGAAATAGTCAGAAAACAGATTTGATGGTTATACTGCCAGGGAGGTCCCAATGCAAACTTATCCTGTCTGCGCCTTGTACCATGGCAATTTTTGCATAACAGAAGAAGTTTGTTTATATAATTTATTATTCCATAACCAAAAATTGCATCAGCGGTAGAGTCGCTCCAGGCAGCCAGACGGAATGCAGTGGCATGAAATTGGCCCTTATATTCAAACATATAGTTAAAATAAAAACATTTGTTGATGAAAATACCATGAACAATCTAGAAAATCGTGCCCACAAATTTCTGTCATTCCAAAGTAGGGAGCAAAAACGCAGTTTGGATACTAACGAAAACATTGCTTGGATAAGCAACATTTTGGTAGCTGAAAGAAGACTATACTAAGCAGGTATAGCATTAACAAGCGTCTAATGTAACCTTAAAATAACCACCAGAGTTACGCTATTTTGAGCTGGTTCCTTTTAAAGCCATTACAGAGAAACCACGGCTGTTATCTTTAAAGAACTGTACTTCCAACTTAACAGTTAAGGCCATTGTAGAATTGGAAAGCAAAGATGACAACCAATCAAAAATGAATGCAACTGTCACTTGCTAACACAAATTGTGTACCTATGGAGATTTATAAAGGCTCGAGATGATATAATCATCAATTATATCTATCATTATCATATCTCCAGTCTGACAAGTCTGACTAAATGTAAAGGCTCTAAATCCCGCCACACAGGTAATTCCCTCTATTTTACCAAGCTAAGAAACCAACGCATGTGAGGTTCTAAACCTTGGAACAAACTGTCAAATCTTAGGTTCCGGAGAAAGACCCGAAAATGAGCTTACTATCAGAATGCCAATTAAGTAATTTAAGACACTGAAAAAGAACTTCACCAAGTAATTCCCATTAACCTCTGGGTTGTCGCGCTTAGATTTTGGATTATGCAAGAGATTAATAAAATCAAGTTGCAAAATTTTTGTAAGATATAATGATGATGGACTTAGATAAGAAGCTAATATGCTAGGAATTAAAAATAGAATTAGATTATTATCGTTAACATAGAACAATCTGCGGGATATAATGATAATATCCTTTATTGATGGGCCCTTTGGATATGCAAAACGATTTTCAAAGCATTGGGTTTTTATATGAAACCCAGGTTCCACAGAAGAAAGCTGAGAATCTCAGTAATGGAACAATATATTGGTGTCCAAAAGAAGACAGATTTAGGAAGATTATATTCGAGAGCAAATTAGCAATTTCTATGTTGATTGCAGAGGACCACTGTTTAATCTATTGCTTAAAAGTATATCGATTCACTTTGTTTAGGAAATTTGCTTTGTTATTGCAAAAACTGGGGACCAAAAGAGAATTTGAACCTTTGGTATTCAATCGAGGATGAACAGGTCCTCTTGAATTGAGCAGAAAAAAGAAATGTTTTATGAAATTCCACTTCTCTTCAGAGTAGCCTTTGGTGGACTTTATCAGTTCATCTGATTAAGATAATGCGCATGTTGGAAGGGCACTTTACATAAGAATCAGCAAAGAAAAATAAACCTCATACTTTTGCATTAGTTAAAGTTTAAGTGGGAAAAAATAAATTGAAACTAAGAAAAATATCTAACGCAAAAATAAAATAAACTATAGATATGAGTATAAATCTACAAGTGAAAAATTTTTGTTCATGGACATTTGCTTAACGAAAATGTGATCATAAGTGAATACTTAGGAATAAAAAGAAGAATATATCAATCACGTAAAAATTCACTACAGATTTTCTTTGAGAAGATTTTCTGGATATTTGTTTCAAATAAAACACCAAACACCAATTTACAAACCTGAATATAAATGTCAGCTAGCAACAACCAGCTCTTCTCAAATTCATTTGCATCCTAGGTGACAATTTAAAACAGCTTAAGAAAAAGTAGAATTTCGCAGCTTTATTTGTCTTCAAGACAGCATTCAATCAAGGCCATATGGAAGGCAATATGGATGCTTCATACTACGTAATTGCAGCATACTTGACATTGCTGGCGAGCAGAACTGCAAGTAGACCAAATACTACTCTAGATGCTAAATCACAATAAATAAGTCTGGAAACGAGCTTTCATCTGACGTTGACCAGGATTCAAAGACTCAGGATAAGCCTCGAGGTATGTTAGAAGGAGGAAAGGCAGGATATACTGTCCGCCGGATTCTTTGAATCTTGCCACGAGTAACAATACGATATATAGTCAGGAACAAAGCAACACGATGATGAGAGACCATAGTAGTCAAATAGAAATTTTAAATAAATTAAATCTAATTAATACTAGTATTTCACTCCAGCATATAGGGCTTCATCAGAGTGAAAAGTAAGCCCTGAAGGCCTTCTGACCTTCATGCAGAGCCATGTGTATAGGCATCTAAGTGTCGGAGCTAACTTGACCAGATGAATGTAGCTATACATATGAACATATAAAAATATAAAGCTTAACATTAACGTATAGAAATATATTAAAATAAGATTTGAAACCTCTGAGTTCCAAGAAAGCTTATCAACGCGCTTAAGCTGGTTTCTCGCCCGGGGGGTCTGTTTTAACATCATGTAAGCTGTTGCCATCCCAAGCAGAGCTGGAACGTAATCTTTCTGCAATAAAGATGAACAAGAGATTTCAAGAAAAAGGCTTCCAAAGGGAACTAGACAGTTCCTGACGCAGCACTGTTTGTTATAGTGCAATAGCTGTAGTTGGTTCGGGCATAGTTTGCACAGAAAGAGCATAGCTGAAAAGTTAACACACAGATAATTCTACTTGAGGGTTTTAAATATTTGTTGGAGCAGTAAATGAAGAAAGTCTTCGCAAGATCCTTAACAATCATTTTACCTATTTAAATATAAAACGCTATTGACGATAATAAGTATTGTAAGTATTTGGTTATTTTGGTATTGTGAAAGATTTCTTCAGAAGAGTGGCAAGATTGAAGAGTTGCCACTCATACAATTCTGACTGTTGTGTGTTCTGCCGAAGATATTCAAATTAAACAAACTGCAAAGCAAGGGTGATTGAAGAATCATCAGTACCTCGACACTTGCCAGCTCCATGAATGCTGATAATGCTTTCTCAGTCTTGCTCTTGTTTTTCTCGGCCATTAACGCATAATTCGAAAGAACTTTGTGTTTTATTGTATTTCCCTTTGGTTTTATTTCCTATAATTTTTAAGATCACGCTGATAAATGCCATTAAAACAGACTAGTTAAGAAATACGCAAAACATTAGTGACAACACTAGGATATGCTAAAATCATTATCGTGGTCAAGGAGATGTCGATCAAATAATGCAAAATCAATCAGTGAACTGGGACCAGAACTGGATGTAAAAAAAGATGATTGAAAAGTTTTAATGAGAACACAAAAGAGAATTTTAAAACTGTAAACATAAGAAAGGCCAAAACAAAAATGCCGTGATTAATTGACATTTTTTGTGGCATAACCTACCAGCCAAAGCTCAATTTAAGTTTAAGAAAATAAATTTTTCATTTCTTTTTCTGCAATGCATTTAGATAGAAAAAATTATATCATTGAGTAGTCGTTGAAAAAAAGTCACAATTTGGTTAGCAGATTCTTTTACTTTGTTTCAAACGCCTTAGGAATATTTTCAAAAACAAGAACAGAAGTGCTCCCGTTACTGTTTTAAGAAATATAAAAAATAACTAGAAAACCAAAAGCAGTTACTAAGGGAGCTCTTCTAAGATCTTTTTCATTTAGTACCTTCAAAAGCTTTTCTGCAGTTCTCAAGGCCATTTCTTCAGAACTCTGCCTTTCGGCAACAGTGCTGTAAAGAGAAAGGCAAACATCAAAATTTAGAGCAATACAGTTGGCTAGTAATTGCAGTAAACAAGTCTGTAGCATAAATAACTTTCAAAAAATAATTATAGTTGGATAATTATAGATAATACCATTGAATACTGACTGCCATTTTAAAAAATGACTAAGGAAACCCACTGAAATACTAGCAAAAGCGAAGATAAATGAAAAAGAAACACAAACCTGTTGTCATCAACAGCCTCGAAAGTTTCTGCCCCTGGAATAAAGCTTGCAGTTTCAAAAACGATTGCCTTAATGGTATAACTGCTCATATCACGACTAACTAGAAACAAATCTTTGAGCTAGTTAAGAATCTATGTCCATCGAACGATGAAATTGTTAAATAGTATTAAACTTGTTAGCGTTTACAATGCCCTAAAAAAAGAACGCAAATCTAGTAAAGAATGCTAAATTTGTCACGTCAATACCAAGCAAGTAAGCAAGCAAGCAAGCAAGCAAGCAAGCAAGCAAGCAAGCAAGCAAGCAAGCAAGCAAGCAAGCAAGCAAGCAAGCAAGCAAGCAAGCAAGCAAGCAAGCAAGCAAGCAAGCAAGAAAAGAAGAGCACTATCAAAAATGCTTACCAATAATGTCACTATCAGGATTCAAGCATATCTCAACCATATTATACAGCGCCTTCTCTCCCCTAGGAACAATGTGTTGTCATTAACAATAAAAACAAGTATTTGGGAATTTTATCGATTGACAAAAACAAATTAGCTTTGAGAGTCATAAAAATTGGACTGATGATAAAGAAATTAAACTGAATACGGAACAAATTTTACAAGAAACTTTCATGTATCTAATTACCAATAATTGTGATATCAAGAACAAAAAGGTTTGGAACTCGAAGAAAACTGCATTACAACTCACCAGTAGGTGTCTTTTCTGGCAAGATTGAAATGCCTCAGTGCAGCAGTAGCATTGTTCTGAAACCTGCCAGGTAACGATAATAATATTATAAAAAAATTAGAAAATCTTTTTGTACAATGAGTCGCGAGAACAAATGTCAAATAAAATTTTGAAGAAAAAAGATAAATGATGCAAAAGAAATAGGTTGATTTTTCTGCTCATTCTTGGCAAAAAATGAACAAATTGACAGAATAAGTAGAGTTCACAGATTGCTTGAATAATAATTTGAGGAAATCTATGCTACTTTGAGTCGTTTTAACAACTCACCATTCATATAACCCTTTGCAATAGTTATAACCAGGGTCAACAGATGCCCTGGCGTTCGCTTTCCCAGCCTAAAAGAAGCATAGAGGTGTCACTAAAACATGGGTAAAGAAAGCATGTTAAAATAATTTTAAATCAACGGGCTAAAGAAAGTGTTCAAAATACTTTCAGTTTGATGGTTACGGTTGAACGGTTAAACACTCTTAGATTGCTCACAGAAGCATCTCTAGGATTGGAAAGGAAAATACTCAGATTGTTTTTGCACATGACCTATTGATAAAGAACAGTAAATCTTTTCATTCGTTCTAAAGATTATCACTTAAACAACAGTAAAAATCTAAATGCTACGGTTATACCAAAATAAGAAACAGTAAAATGAATATGAGATTCGAGATTTTCAAAAAGTTTTGTTCGGAGAAATTAGAGAACGTGCATTGATTTTGAACAGGTTGACGTCACATATTTTGGTACACCCGAATTCCTTCAAATATCGTAAGAATTCCTTGGGAACTCAGAATTTGACAGTGCAGACCGAGCTCTGATACTGATATGATATTCGCAATTTTTTATTTCTCAACTAAGAATAGAAAATCGAAAAAAAACTACTGTGAACATCGTAAAACGAGATGATGTTAAAGATGGAATATCAAAGATATGAATTAAGCTTTTCTCGTGAAAAGAGTGCTGTAACGCATCATAGTTGAATTTGAAGATTTTGAAAGTTCCCAGAAGTTGCATATTGCGTTCTAGAAATACAGAAATGACCACTTGCACGGTATCTGAAAACAATAAGTTAGAGCCGAGTGGATAATATAGGCTATTCAGTCAGAATCTTCTAACTTATACAATGGGGATATTGGTAGGTGATTTTTAAAGTGATTCTGCATTTCAACAAGTTCAATATTCAAATTTGCTAATGTAAATAAAACAAGCAATGAAGTAACAAAACACAGCTAAAATTGAAACTGATTTAAATTTTAAACCAAATAGGTATTTGTGGCTAGGATGGATATTTGCGTCTGGAACTTAGCAGACGTTGATCAACTGCAAAGAATAGCCTGACCAGATAAACCATAGCGTTGAAAGAATTTTATTGCAGCGATAACCGTCTAGCAATTACAGCAGCTAATTTGATAGGCAGACAAGGATGAGTTAAGCTTAAAAAACCATAAAGAATCTTTCTACTGCTTATGATGGGACTTTGTGTGGTGGGAGTGCCGGGTAAAGACATTCGAGAGAAAACGACAAGACAAAAAAAATTATGTAGCAAAATTGCAAAAAGACAGGGATATTGACTATTATGATACTGTACTATGTGATGTTGTCTTATATAAGATATTATACCATGTATCATCATTTAATTTTGCTAGATCATTATCATATCATGTTGCCTTACATCAATACTGATATGCGATACAATGTTTTATCATGTTACATTATCATTAAGTATCATATTACGAAAAGTTAGCTAACACTTTATGACATAGCAGTTAGCTACTATGAGGGAAATGTTTGATTCCCAATTACCCAAAGTTATGAGGACTTCCAGGATGGAGTTTTTTACAACAAAACGATTGGATACAAACCATTTCGATGAAACTTTTGCATTCAACAAGTTGTCCTGCTCTCTTCATCAAGTCAACATACTTAGCTAGTGCCTCGTAATGCTCTGTTGGAAGGAAAACATCCATGTTCATGTTACAAGTACATGAAGGGCTTAAATATAATATATCATGCAAACCGTTTTTTGTTTAAGAACCAAAATTATTAGAAAAACTCACGTGAATGCGAGACATTTTTGAAAGATGAAGCCAGTGACGTGAAATTGGAGAGATCAAATCATGAGGTTATTAGGGCTTGGGAAACTGTTACTTAATCGCTAAAACATTAAAGTAATATTGGATTTCAATATCTAGCTGAGAATCATGTAGACAAAATAAATTAGCAGCTGTAAATAATCTTAGCACAATACTGGTTTCTAGACTGATAGTCGAGAGAATTTGGAGTTACTTGCTATTTCAGTTACACAACATCTTATGTTTCATAAGCGCATTCAATTCTTCGAACCTCTTCGGAGCACTCAGTTTGGCTTGTAGCTCTTATTCCGTTTGAATATGCTCGCAAAACTAAAATCTTTTCAAATTGCTTAACAAATAATACGCCCCAATACTTTCTTCAGTCTAAAGATATACTTAAAGTACTACAGATAAAAAACTGTGTGAAAAAACTTTATATAGCATCGTAGAAACAAGATGCAAACCTCAAGAATATGAAATGACAAAGGGAAAAAATTCTACTAAAATTAACTGGATTGCAACGCATCGTAACAATGGATGGAAAAGATTTAAGTTTTAGGACAGAAGCAGTAATATCAGAAAATTGTTGGAGTTCAGTACTGCATCCTGGGACACGACTCTCTGTTTCAAACATTAGAAAATTCCAAATAGGTTGCGAAAACTGAAACTGAGTTGGAAATACTGGAAAATTGGTCAAGGAATTAACTTTTTACGAAATCACAGAGCATAAAAAACCCGAAAAAGAGAGAAGGAAAGTCCATAGAACCCAAAGCAAAGCCGAAAAATTGAAATAAATTTAAGCAACAAAATCCCGCTTTCAACCGACGTCAAATTGTACTCAAGACACTTTGAAAAATGGGAAACTATAAAAAAACAGCAACATAGCCGGTGCAAGCACGGGAAAAGAACTTACAAAAGCGACAGATCATTACAAAAACTGCTTATAAAACGATGCCGTAAAGTAGGAAAAGGAAAGATCTAGACTTTGCTGATAAACCAAGACGCTACGCAGCTATGAGAAAGTGATTGTGAAGCTTAGAAACTGGCTTGTGCGGACTGCTCCTTAAAGAATTGAAAATGTCTAGATTCAAAATCGGATACAGTTTCGGAAGCCAAGCTTAGCTGAAAGGAGCTTAATATGCATCCGTTGGTTTTAGGACACTTAGCTGACGAGCAATAGCGAGCAATCCCTTGCTTCCAAATATTCGACAACAATGTTTAGTTTAGAATAAAATCCATTGATTAGCTTTTGGATTTAATGCGTTTGTTGCTGGAACAAAAAAAGGTTTACTTATTTCAAAATGTATTGTTTCGCAAGTAAAAGGCAGAATAAAAAAAACCATGGACGAGAGGACAACACAGACTGAATATAAAACAATAAATTCCTGCCTTAACACGAGTATTCTTTTTTAAGGTATTAAACGATTTTAAAATGAGGTATACCACATTATAAGAGAAAATTTCAGAGGATCTTTGTCAGAAATGGAGGGCGGATGAAATTGCAGTGCGATGTGTTGGAAATGTCCCATCAATTTTATTGGAAATAGTATACAAGTTGCGCCAATTAATGTGTCGAAAGTCTTAAATAAAAATAAAGGCACTGGTCTTTAGAATTTTTCAGTTTCTGAATACAGAGGTATGAAAAAACTAAGTTTCCATGCCAGTTCGTTATTTATTCAATAATTCAAGTGAATATTTCAAAGGTATAAGAATACCTGGTGTCCGGCCTAATAGTTTTTGGAAGTGAAATATTGCTGATTCGTACTCAATTTTCCTGAACATGAGATCCGCCATCATCTAAAAAGAAACTCTAATGTAAATTACAGAATAAATATTTACGAGCTTTGAAAAAATGAGAACATACGAATAGAAATGATCTGTGCTAAAATGCAGGTAGACTTATCTGTAGAGCGATAAAAGGAAATGGTTTGAAGCTGGGTATCTTATGGTTTTAATAAAGTTCGTGCTAGTTTGGTGGCCAACGTGGGTATAAGAGCGTCGCTCTTTCCCAGGAGAAAGATATGTAAACATGCAAAACCCTATTTATCTGCCCTGTGCCTAACATCACTTTGAGATAACTCTGAATGGCCATAGGGTTGTTATGTAAATTCATGCCCCCTATTGTATCATTATTGTACTGTTAGTTTGGAGTAGTGTAATGTAAATTTTTGTGAGTATATAAAAGACATGCTTCCAAATCAGAAGACTAGCTAAAGAATAAATTAAAATTTAATGCTTAACAGACGTGTTCTTTAGGTACTAGGCATTCTCAACCAATACTTATCTCCAACACAAAGTCAAAGCTTTCTCAGAAACAGATTGTTTTGGTACTTCTTGCACTGAAACATTTTAAACGCGGACATATAAAAAAATCTTAAATAAATTCGTAGGTCGCTGCTCATCATCAGAACTTTAAACTAAATGTTCTGCACGATAGAAGGCACTCCAGCCAAATGACACAGTAAAACAATAACAATGCTCTTGAAGAGTACAGAGTTGAATTTTATTATGGAATTGAAGACGTAAATTATGTTGTTGAGGTAAAAATGATCCTTGACACATCAAAATTAGACTAATTTTTCAAATTTTGTTGTACTTTTAGGTTTTCGTTTGCATTTTTTCGGTATCTAAGGGCATTACGGCTTGTAATAGAATTGGATTGCATTTGTCACAATAAAATAGTTAAGAAACAAAAGACCCTAAATTTAGATAAAAAATATACAGCAACAATGGCCTAAAATGATTTTCTTAAAAATACGTATAGAATCGATACTACAATCATTTAATTACCACTACAATAATTTATGATTTGAATTACCACTGTAGCGGCATCGTTGTCTTGGTCACTCTTCAAAAGATTAGTAAGCTGATGCTGGCAGGCATTGTGGTCGCCAGTTGTGAGGTATAACTTTGCGAGCGAAATCATTGCCTATGAAATTAAGATACATAGATAGCAGTTGAGCTATAGAGGTTATAATACAATGACGTCGACCGACGAAAAAGAAGTCACTGACAATGAATTGGCTTCAAGAACGTGTCAGTTGTTCTAAGTACACAAACACAAAAACAGATATCACTTAATTTTTAAGTGTACTACACAGGCCATTAACAGAGCTCGATATCAGTTAACATTATCAAACGACACTGCTTGAATTCTAATGTAAATTGACAGCCATTCGCAGGGATGTTGTATTCTAAAATCTGACTTATTTCATTTCTACTGAACTGGTCCAATTAGAGGGCCGTAAAATTAATATAAGGCGATGATGAGACAAACATTGTTGGCCCAGATTTCACAAAGTCCAAAATTCAAATATTTCCTTAAGCAAACTCAAGGGAACGGATACGTTCCTATAACGGGTAGTACCTACAGTCTTCCAGGTGCCCACTAATTAAAACATCATTTATGCTGCAAGTTTTAGCTTGAGAAAAGCAGGTCTACCCCGGCATGGTTCGCAAAGCAATGCCTGACAGTACTTTAATCAGACCTTAATCAAAAATAAATTTTTAATCCAAACAGTGCAGTAAAAAAAACAGAGAAAAGATGGCAACATAACATTTAAAGGCAATAACACGTATTAAAAAATGTGGTGATTGTTAAAATCTATTGCAGCTATAGAAAACCAAACAGATTTGCCGAAAAAAAAATTGAGCCTAGTGACACGAGTAGAAAAATCCCATTACAGCAATTTAGATGAACGTGAAGAATTGCTGACAATAAACTGCTGTAACCATTCCAATAATCTAATTCCAAGCATATGACGACGATAAATTTTACGAAAACAGCCATTTCCAAGTGACAAGGACGGGTTACTGGCAAGGTATCAAATTTCAATACCACCAAAAGAATCGTCAGTGTTTACAAAAGCCCTGGCTGATACAATGTCTGTAGAAATTTTAAGCTGAAATGTTATAGCTTAAAAAAGAAAAAGTGAAAGTAGAACCTACGCATGATTACAAGAAAATCAGACATTATATTGCTAAATAGCCATAGCACTTGGTATTATAAAATTCAGATTATTTTTCTTCAGGTGAATCTTGAACAGGGTTCCTTTGCAAGACCCGAGTGTCTTTGAGAGCAGAAAAAACGGTTTACGGGACATGTTCTTAACTCTGCCCTTTACTAGTACAGTATTCCATAAGAATTTATTTACACGACAAGCCTTGGAATGGTACAAGTGAGTAATGTCACTAGATGTGGATTTCATGAATGAATAAATCCAATTCTATTCAAAAACAGAAAAGGTGCTTAACGACAAAAGTTCACGGTGGTCGTAAAAGTAGTTCACACTTCATTAAAAATTTCATAATAGAATTACAAATATATGATCAAAATTAGGAAGATTAATATTCTGATCGAATTAAGGCAATCTTAAAAACTAACCTCTGAATCCGCCTCGTTGTGGAACGTAGCCTCTTTATAGCATTTAATAGCATTTTCATAGTCCTTTAAATTTGTGTAGTGTTCAGCCATTTGACAACTTATTCTGAAAGAAATATTTTTGGTTATGGGATCGCTAATAGAATTATCTTATAGAGCAAACAAGTTTTATTTAGAAAATTTGAGGCAATTTCCTCTATTCGTATTTTGAGGACCAGTTTTGAATCACAGAGATGAATTCGAAAAAAGTAAAATAACATCAAATTACATTTTGGGCACGAATATATTTATATTAGTTGTTCAAAAGAGGAACGATTTCCAAGAAATTCAAAAGGCTATGGGGAAATCAGCTGACAATATCAGGATAAAGTGTACTGAGTACAGATGAAACAAAGAGGAAAAAGGCATATCAAGTAATGGCTGTCTGAATAAAAAAGGTATGGAGAAAATAACTATAAACTTACTGAGCAGAGAGGGCCTTCTGAGCCGGCAAGAGTTCAGGCTGCTCAACACCAACTCTTTTCAGAACACTGGGCAAAGGAAATGATAATCACAAAAACAAGAAAACATTGCCTGAAGTATGCTGTAAGCTAAAGCCAATACTGCCATAGCAGCTGTAAGACTGACAATAGAAAACACCAAATGATATAAAATGTTTAGGGTATTCAAGGAAGTTGAAAAAAGAAAAAAACCAGATATGTTAAAGATCTTACAAATTCCCCTCGTTAATACACGCCTTAAAAATTAAGTCTTGTTAGAGAAAAAAAAGAAATATAGTATAGTTGATTTCTCTTTGGAGGAAATATCTTGAGAAGTTATAAAAACGTCATGAAAAGACATTAAATCATATGTCTCTGTAAGATGAGTTGACAGTACAAAGATGAAAAAAATTATCTACTTTACCTATTTTGAGATTCTTTGGCTTCTGCAAAGGCTGTCAGAGTTTCTTGTGGATCTCTACAGTTTTGGTAAATTTTAGCTAAAAGCAGCTTGAACTTAGTTGCTGATATCAAAGATGAAACATCAGATGCTGTGAAGAGACAAACAACGATAAAATCATTTTGGTATTCGAAAAAAGTTTGTACAATGGAAAACAAATCGAGTATCCAGTAGGATACAATGTACTTCCAAAACCAACAGTAGGATAACGTTAAAAATGCCAAATGTGTTAAATCTGTCCCGAGCTGGCAGTGATATGGCCATTTTGGTTATATTTCAAAAATATCATTTGAGGTGTTCAAACAAGAAAATTCTCAAATGGATCTTTATGACGTCATCACGTCTTTACTCAGTCATCAACCTCGTGTATTTTTACCAAGCAACTGGTGCTCAACGCATCGTGGCAGTCACTGCGTTTGAGAGACAGTGCTCAAGGCAGTGGCGTAACGGAAGCATCTGGGGCCCTAAAAAAACTGAGACGGACCCCTTTTTGCGGACACCAATAAAGTTCCATCAAGGGTGTATAGCATGTTAAAAATAATTTTTGTTAATTGTAGCTCAAGTTAAAGGGCTTTAAAATTTTTTGAAAAAGTGTTGTACTTGAGTGGAGTCTTCAAAACATAGATATAGAAATAAATTGGGTACGCTTTTGGTCGGGGTCCATTAGTTATCGAACTAAGGTGCCCTAAACTGCGTTACGCCACTGAATCAAGGCATTTTTAAACAACGGCAGTAGTCTATGTTAATTGACAGGTTAAAAATGTAAATGATTGTACGACAGACAGCTGTTCCCAGCAAAAATCTCTCTGAAGTGACTCGTTGGCTTTAGATATATCAAATCCATTAGTCTTGAAATAATCAGTTGATGCAAATCGATTTGATGATACACACCTGATTTTTTTGCGTAGCTAATAGCTTGAAGAGTTACTTTCTCTGCTTTATCATAGTTTTTCAGCTTTAAATAGAGTTCTGCTAAATCGTATCTAGAATAAAAAAGTATCTACGTATGACGAGGACATTCAGAATTCACTATAAACCTAACTGTATGAAAAAGCAAGTAACAGGAAGATTGATCATTGAAAAGAAACTACATATTGTTAAGCTTCGAATAAGCCACCAAAGAGTGGTATTAATTTGAGCAATTTTTGATGGAATACAACAATCTAAAGGGGAGGGGGGGGGGGCGTGGTTTCTTGAAGAAATTATCCTTCAATAAAATTAAGTCTCCAATTAAAAGAGGGGAATGGCCAAACAAATCATCTGAAACTTCTTTAAGAACATCTTTAGTAACTAAACATCCTGCAAATCGATTTTCAATATAAAGTTTTTTGAAAATGCTTTATTTAATTCGGCTTGCTATTAAATCTTAGATCTTAAAATTTTACATGTTACTATGAAGACCTGTAATTAAAGGGGATTGCAATTATGGAATTTACGGTAATTGAAATTTCAGTGATAGATAATCAATTTGGCCTTACCTCAAAAAGTTCTGGTTCCCAGTTTTTACTGCAGCTTCATAATAGCTGATTGCCTGAAAAAGACCCAAAAGAAATTTGCATAAAATCTAAGATACTCAAAGAGTTCTAAAAACCAAACCAGTTTTTGCTTACGGGAGAAGAAAATGAACGTCAAACACGACTGTTTAAACAAATGTGATCTTCCTAAGGTTGATAAAAAAAATGACTGGTCCAAAATAAGATTAATTTAAAAGCATAAAGCAATATACCCTCTCACAATTAATCTTCTCTCGTAATATATTGCAGGTTATTTTAAAATCATCTTTATTAAAAAGTACCAAAATACGCCTTATTTTCTCATGATGGCTCTTGTATTATAGACAATTTTCCGTTTTCCACATCTCATTATGTTTATTCTAGGCGTGACGGGTCAACGTTATCTAGCTCATCACTACCTTATACATCTAAATAAACCACGGAAACAATAAAAGTATCTGAATATTACCTTGCCATATTGGTGAGTCTTTATAAGTGCTTGCCCAATTTTACTTGCCAGGCTTCCGTCTCGCGGATTTCTCTTAAGAGCTGTCTCATACACCTCGATTGCTTTCTCCGGCTAGAAATGGACATACAATGCATGTCATAACTGATTGGAACATCTGACAGCTTGCGTTTTTGCATTTTTCCCATATATCAATTTTTTAACTCCTTATTCGCCCAGAACAATGTTGATAGTTTAAGTAAATATCAAACAAGTCAAAGAAAAAAATGTGCTTCCTAATCTCCGACGTCATTTTCAAGCAAGGGTTGGGATGTCTGAACTCATCATCACCCCGAGGTTTGGTAGAGGGCAATTTAAAGAAGAATAAACACTTGTATGCAATAAACGCACAAGCAATAACAAAGGATGATATTGGTAAAAACCGTGTAAAGTACATTGCTAATACACATTGCCAATTAAAAAAATATAAATATCCTTTGACTGTTAGCTAGTTTAACGTTTTTGGTATTGTCATACTAATGAAAATGACTCGATTTATGCAACAGCCGAAATCAACCTAATTATATTATAGGTAATCCGTTACATTTATCACGAGTAGAGCAGTTTTATAACCACAAAAGTATGAAAATATCAGCTTGCTAAAAATATTTGCATCTCGTTGTAGCGAAGGTAGTATCATGAAATTTGTTCATCGTAAGGAGATAGTATGTACCTCTTGTATACTCATATAGGCATCCCCTAGCAGCAAATATGTCTGTGGAACAGGATTCTTCTCAACCAGTTCCCTAAGAAGTTTGCACTTTGACAATTAACGTTGCATGAAAAAGTAATATCATTTAAAACTGCTTATGCTGATTCCTATCAATGACATCAAACCAGCAAAATATCATTCTATCTTAAGAAGAACTATAATCCTGACAGCATGAACCAGATGGTTTTGCAAATACAGAACCTGAATTTAGCTTAAACAGCGTACAATCTTACCTGTCAAAACACAAATTTTAATACCATAATTAAAAGCAGTAGCCACCAGACATACTAGTCAAAAATGGTATACAAAAAATGAAGATAGTGAACGAGGTAAAAACTATGGTAAAACACTGCTACTTTTTGTTGTTTACTGTGCTAATCTTGATGTAATCTCGATATGAAAAAATAAACTATGATGACAAATATAATCAGTGAATGAAAGCACGTTTCCTATAAAAAGATACAGGGCCAATAATATTTTAGCTCTGGCCATTGTAGACAAGAATAAATCCAGACAGGGTGTCTTCACACTGAGTAGAAATAGACTTAACGACTTGTCCTCCTATCATCATTGTTGTTTGAATTTTCTTAATCAAAATACCCAATGACAAATGAAATGAAATTCTACCTGTAGACACTTGCATAAAGCCGCTTGTCTTTTCTATGGTGCAAGTAAATTTCAGCCATCTTTTCACGCGCTTTAACAAAGTAGCTGTAAAAGAAAAAAGATGAATCGGATGAAGGGTAAGGACTTCACTGATGTTGATCTTTAATAATATTCTTGCAACACTGAAAAGCATTATTCGCTTAGTTTCCATTATTTTAAATTTTTGTCTATGTATCCTAGGCACGTTAAAGGGACCACAATAGATCATTTTCATCAACTATAAGACTGGTTTATAAAACGACTTCTACCATCAAATAGCCAAAAAGAAAACGATTGACATGCATGATAAGATGTATCCGATGTACTTGTAAATTCCCTTCAAGATATATCACCACTTAAAAGAGTCCGAGTCAAGATTATCAAATAGGAAATTAACCTTTCTTCAGGTGAGATTTGGCGCAGCGTTGTTAGAGCTTCTTCAACATCCCCTCTAGCAAGTGAAAGCTCTGCATTGGCTATGCTCACTCTGAAACACAAAATATACATAAAAGATACTGAGAATCAGCTAACGACTAAATAATTATTCTTGAAGCCCGTAATCATAATGAGCGGGGAAAATACTGTAAAAGGCATGACATAGCAGTTAGAAAAAGATGCTTGTTTGACTTTTTGCAACTACACACATACAAAAAACGTTGGAAACTGACATAGGAATGTTTTCCCATTTTGCTGGATGCCTTAACGTCCAATGATGGGGCCTTTTCCTGGTCATTCCGAACATAGAATTAATATCTGTGCTACATTTTGGGGTTAGAGCTTTTTCATATATAACTGAACTACGCTATAAACCAGTAAAATCAGCCTAAGACAGCAGAAGTTGCAGCAAATATGGCAATATAACAACATGATGTCGACTCCTACCTTGTTTCTTCAGGAGTGCCTTGGAATTCGTGGATCGCATCCTGCATTACCTTTGCTGCCTCGTGCTGCAAAAGATATGAATACCATTAAACTCATTTCACTGAATGATTATTGCAAATTACTTCAAAAATTAATTCCAAACATTTTAATCAATTGATCTGACACTTGCTTTCAAAGAATCGCCTCTGAACATAAGCCATGCCCAAAAACCCGCTTTGAAATAGAAAATCTTACGCAGGAACTATTGCATTTTCAAGAAAACTATTAATCCAGCAATACTTACCGTTTGATTAAGCATTCGATGTGCCTCTGCTATCTCCAAATATAGTGTCACTTTGTCTCCATTGCTTAACCCCGAAGTTTCACCTGGTTTGGCAGGACCTTGAAAGCAAAGTTCTGTACTTGAAATACTTTAATTTTCAAAAAAATAAACAGTCAAAATGCTGCTATCAACAATATATTTAGGCAGCACAAATGGAAATCTGAATCTTGATTAAAACATTATAAAGTAAATGAGGTTTGATAAAGGCATTCTTGATAAGAAATCCTCATGTTATTTCTTCTTCGGTATGTTTTTGCTTCATTGAAACCAAACAAATATGCATTTTGGGTACCAAAATATCACGTTTTCAAGTAAAAAAAATTGTAAAGGGTAATAAAATGCTTTAGGCATAAAATACGTCAATAATAAAAAGTGTTTCAACAAAGCTAATAAATATTGCAAACAAAGAAAATCGCTACGAAACCTGTCTTTTTCTTCAGACCAGGTAGAGACATGGCTTCTTTTAGAGTTTTAAGGCATTCTTCAGTTTTTCCCATTTTCTTGGCTGCCCTGGCTTTGATGATATGATACAATGGGCTGTTACGCACCTAAAAAGAAAAAGGCAATGGTCATGAAAATATGCAGCAATGAATTTACGATCGCAGCATCGTTAAGAGCCATAGAACCAGACAGATAGAGAAACTTTTAATAAATACACGTTTAGTCATATCAAGAGGAAGGAAAAGATCACTGCTCGTTAAGCACAGCTTCTCAATGTTTCAAAATCTACTTTTGTTACCTAGGTAGCGACAAATACACATACAAAAATAGGTTTACTCAGCCATGCTTTTCATTGAATATGCGATAGCGATGAGAACACAATAAGAAATGAAAGCGTATTAATACAGGGGTATCTAATTAAAATAAGTGACGTTTTGATACACTAAATTCTACAAAATTCTAGATGATTAATCAAGCTTAATTCACAAGCTTCATTTCTAAACACACAATGCTACTACAGATGGGTTATCATGCAGAGACATATAATTTGAGTATTTAGTATACAAGTAAATATTTTACTGCTTTTATACCTCAAAGTTATAGCTGAGTCCATTTTCCAATGACTGATCGCAAGCAACATAGTTCCCATTATACAAATGAATCTGTTGCGAATAAATAACAGCGAAGTTGAATCTTATGCGAATAAAGTATGGCGAATATTTAACGTAAATAAAAGTAATTCAAAATATGTCGACAGTTTCCGGTTGAAAGAATATGATATGGTATAAGAGAAGTATATGCTGTTGTTTGTGGTTGGTAAATCACAGTTAAAATATGAAAAGATTTAGATTTCTGTTAAGTAAGAAAAAATTATTTATGAAATAAAAATTTTGGAAAAAAATCTAAAATCCCTACAATACAAAAAGGAACAGCATTACACATTATTTGCTAAAATCTAAAATCTAAATTGGATTCACATTTTCAAAACAAAACTTTCACTTCCAGTCGAGGAAAGCTTAGGTAATAGAAAATGTTAAATGGTTGTACCTGGGCCATTAGAAGGTGTGCATCCGAAAATGTCGGATCTGAATCTAAGCAGAGGCTGAGTGTCATCTTTGCACCATCAATATCACCTTTACAAAAAAATTAAAAGAAACAACAAACGATTAAAGAGGAAAAATTCAACTTACATTTTATTTCTTGACATAAAAGTTAAGAAACTTATCAATTTTACGTTGAAGAAATGTGAAATAGCAACATGATTTCAAAATGAAACAGGAAAGTGAAAACATATCATACTGCAGTATTTTTCGTCCGACACTCCTAAGGCCTAAGTTAAAGGTCGATCTTCTCACGCGCCGAACCGAACACAATTCGATGCGACTGTAGCGCGACTGTGGAGCGACACGGAGTTAGACGCCGCTCTTAACATGTCGTATCTTTGTAATTGTCAATTGAAAAATCATCAAGAGTCCAAGGGAGAAAACAATTTCTTCCTGTCTACAGAATTTTCGGTATCATTTGTTTATATATATCTCAGAAAAATCATTTTACAAAACTTGAAAAAATTATTGCTAAAGGGATCGCAAAATGGGCAGGCTGCTATGCATACGATTGATGCCATATGATAGTAATATTTTAATGATATTGGTTCTAAAATAAAGCAATAGTCTTTAGGAGAACCGTAATAATCTTGGTAAGAGGTGCGAGCATATTTCATATTCAGTAGGATTTTATTCACGAAAGTAAGTTGAAAAAATATATCGAAGCCTTTGGACATACCCATAGCATACTTTGTTTTTGCCATGTAGTAGTGGCCTAGCAGAAGGCCAGGCACTGTTTTTACAATAGGATCCAGGATGGTAAGAGTCTTGTTGAGTACAGGAGCAACAGGCTGGCCCATACCTGCAGGCTAAATTATAGACAGATATGAATGAAGTACTTGAAAAGAAAAGTTTGACATTGTCCTTAATGGGAAAAATCGAAGGAAATGTAGAGGAGGAAACGACATGATGAAATGGAAAGAACTACGCTACCTCAGCTGGTGCAAATTGCAGGAAAACCTTTGCAAGCTCGATAATAAAGTCTGGATTCAATCTTTCAAAATATAAGCAGCCAAGAGGCAGCCCCTATGAGCAAAATTATTCATCAGTAAGTACAAAGACTAATCAAAGCGTAAAAATAAAAAACACCTTTTCACATTAAACCACTCCTTTGATAAGTACGCTTTCACCACAAATAATTAGAAGAAATATGCCAATAAACGCAAACAACAACATAGCTAATTGTAAATATGAATATTACAATAAATTTGATTCTGTCGCCGTTACAGCCATGTTAAAGTTATCTGTTTTCTTTGTAGTGTTTCTTATGTGAACATTGAAAGCAATATAAAAATTGACAATCAAAGAAGTAGATCTTATATTACTTAGCCTTTGGAGACAAAAACCATCAAATCGAGAATGTAATTTCTCCTATGTCCATGTTCGACTGTTAACCAAGAGATTGCCTTACAAAAAATTTCCCCGCCTATCTCCGTCGCAATCTACACATATTTCCTTTCCCTGCTGGCAATCTACACTTAGATCAGCAAAATCTTTTGAAGAAGCACCCAGATACTTACACCTAAACTCCCGAAATGTGATTCCATTGACTGTTCCAACAGCTTGATTACCTCTTCTGCAGGTTTACCTCGTTTCAGTGCCAGTAAAGCACTTAGAAACAATATATCCTAGAAAACGCCAACAGAAAATGTAAACCATAGCTGGAAAGATGGATCATCAAACCCAACCCCTCTCCCCAGGAAAAACCTAGGTCTTATGAACCTGTGAAGGTAATACATTGAAGATATGTTTTATCAAATTCTTTAATCAAGAAATTCTATAAGGCTTCTTATTAAACCAGAGTTAGAATAAGTCTCAATCAAACACAAATGAAAATTTTAGCTGAGAAAAGCGATCAATTATTGTTAACTAATCGAGTACTGATCCAAATTCGAAACATTTAGTTGAAGGCGGTTATTCGAGGAAGATGGCACTAATGGCATTAGAAATATTCTATGTGGCTATCATTATGCGAGAGTTAAATGAGGAGGGGGTGGGGGGAGGGGGGGGGGCAAACTGAAGAATCCGGTCAGGATAATCCGATTAATCTCGTTTCATACACGTCGAGGAGTTTTTTAATTGCATCAACGAATCACAGGTCGTCTAGGGTCAGGGAACGCTCACCTACGAAGATGACATCAAACAAAACATAATACCTATTAGAATTCGTCATATTCGCCTAAAAGGAAGGTGAAGCTTTCTAGTAGATAAAGTTTTGTGAAAGTTAGATGAAACCGGAACAACGTTGAAGTAGGTCTCTTTTAAAAATTAGTGAAAACAATGGTTAGTAAAGCATACCGTTGATTTTCCAATAGATTCTTGTATCTCACTGAGAAATTCAAGCTGTTGTTCGGCATCATCTAGTGCACCTTCCAAGATCTGACAATGGATAATCCCTAAAGATAATAGATAAAGTTACAGTCAAGAGGTAAGTAACGATAAAGGGAAACAGCCAATTTCTTATTTATCTAATTATCATTTCAATCATTTACAACTAGGCTATGATGTTTTGTTGAAAAGTTGGCAGGACTAGTTAGAACAAAAATAGGTAGTCCATTTGTAGCGAAAAAATCCCAAAAATTCCAAATAAGACAAAAGCTCTATAAATTTTAGTCTTTTGAGTACTTGAATTATAAATACTTAGTCGATATACTTAGTCTGGAAATACTAAAAGTCCTAGATATGGGAAAGAGGAGTAGAAAAACAACCGTGCACATCAGAATCTTTTTCAGCTATTAATTTTCGATTTATCTTAATTGCATTCATAAACTAAGTTAAAATTACAAAAACGGCATTTTCTATTAACAAAAAATCGGCTCTAATGTCTATATACATAAACCTTTAAAAAATCTAAATGAAAAACGACATTGCCTGGAAAGATCATCCTAAACATTCAGTCGCTGTTATTGTAGCACTTTCACGCTTCCCTAATACTAAACTTAAGCTAGGCATCAGATCCATAATAAAAACAAACCCGTTAATGCAGGGACACTCGATTCATCAATTTTCATTGCTTGTTTATAGTGCTTTAAAGCATCTTTGTGACGTCCAAGCAATATTGTTTGATAGCCAATCTCAAAGAATAAATCAAGAAAATAAGTAAAAAGAGAGATAGACAAACCAGTTCACATACATGTACACACATTAGCTTTAGTAACAGAGTATTAAAAATAACAGAGTGCTGTTCCACAAGCATCCATTTAGAACACAATCAGACTTTTAAATTTTTGCTATCACTGTATCAGATCAAAAACATCTATATCACATGGCTGCAAATAGCTATCGGGTACATACTCGAAGGCGAATTACTTTCAGTACTAAGGCAACCAGGTATCAAACTTTAAATTTACAAGTGTGATATCAAGTAAAAGAGACTGGTAGAAAAGCTGATATATTCACATATTGTGAATATAAACATGTTACATATATGCTTTTATGTAAACCGGACGGTTTCAAGTATATACTCTTAGTTTCACGCTAATGGGGTAATCAGGCGATAGGCACATCCGGCTATACCTCGTTCATTACATCAGCCTTTGACGATGAAGAAGATGATTTCGCTCGATCAAGCATGGTTAGTGTCTGCTGCAGAATCATAGAATTGCGTCCACACTAAGAGAAGAACAGCTAAAGTTAACTACTTATAGCTAGCCCGTAGCGATCCAACGATAGTCAAGAATGGTAGATCAACAGAAAATCATCAAAATATTATTTTTAATAGTAACTCCATAATTCAGCGACCAATTGATTCTGAGTCATAATATATCAATAGAGTCATCGAAACGAACCGTCGTAGTAGACAGCTTCTGCAACATTTATATACTTACAAACTAAGATAGTGATTTAAGACACTTTTTACTAATACAAAGATGAACAAAGATAGAAATTTTTTTATCTACTCTCAGATTGGTCTTTTATGTCTTCATATTTTAAATAAATGCAAAAAATTTGTCCACTAGCCAGTATCAACTCACCACACGTGAGAATCCCTTGGCCAAACTACAATGCAGGTAAGGATTACTAGGCTCAACACGATCTAATGTTTGAATCAAATCACTGATCCTGTCCACAGCCTAAAAAAGTGAAGCAACTAATAAATCACAGCCAAAAAAATGATGGTGTAAAGAAACTAAAGAGTCATCATCTGACACTTCTATCCTGGGTACAAGAGCATCTGATAAATTCAGAGAGCCCCCTCTTCTATTGACTCACTCCCTCTGCTGTCCCACTCGATTCATTGGAGGTTCTGCCTTTCCCCAGGTCGTCTGACTCGACCCCTTGGAAGCTCTGATACCCGTGATAGGTCGGTAAAAAGGGCCTCCCCAGCAACAATATGCAATCGTTGTTTATGGGTAAATTAAACGAAGTTGAACCTACTGACTACACAATTTTAACTTGACAACAGGACAGCAAATTTCGCTTCAGGGTCATTGTGCATTTTTTTTCAAATTATATCGCCTTTGTTAATGAAGATACGTATTCCGTGAATAAATTCGCTTGTCTTCGTGTGTATGTATGTTAAACCTTCAAGAACGTCTAACAAAAACCACCAGGAACGGAAAAAATGGACGGGGTTCGTTTATTTATTTGATTTATTTCTACTAATTATTTTATTATCTAACATCTCAAAGTCGTAACCTCGTAAAAAAATTATAATGCCAGTTCATGACATATTTTTGGGTGCGCGCTGATTCAGTTTTTAATCAGCGTCAACACATATATAATATCTAGCATCATTCCCGATAGGGTATATAATTTGTAGGGAGAGATATTTTCAAACTCAACAAAGTTTTCCTTTCCACACAATATCTTTTGCAGAATTTATATTTGAATACATCATTATTGAAAACAACTTGATCTTAAGATTGAAATGAAAAATCACAGCATCGAAGTGTATCGATGCTAGTTACTTGACTAAAAATAATACTACCTCTGGATATTTTCCATCTCTGCATAACAAGAACAATACAGACATCCTTTCAGCTTCAATATTGTGTGGCTCTGATCGTAAAATCCTATTAAAAGATGTCATATACTCAAAGCAGACGATAAAAACATTTAAGACAGTATGTTGAACGAAAATTATGAAAGTATGTTGCAACCCTTTTCTGCTCTTTGCCACAATCTTAGAAAACTCGGGGCTACCAAAAGCATCTATTTCTCTTATAGTAAGAGCTTTAGCAGACTTAAACTTAATGACTGAAATAAAGATTGTATTGTATTGTATTGTATTGTATTGTATTGTATTGTATTGTATTGTATTGTATTGTATTGTATTGTATTGTATTGTATTGTAGATTATTTAATGTTAGTTTTTACAATAGTGAATATACACTAATTAAGACTAACATGAAGCAATTTCAAGGATTGCAAAAGCAGTTCATTTACTGCAAAACGAGCATGCGCACTTGTTTTCAAGGAACCAAGTTTTGATCAAATTCTTAAATTGTCTAGTATTTTGTGCTATCTTTTATTGATTTTGCAAGCGAATTCCAGATTTTAGGCCCTTGAAAACTTAATGATCTGATACCATTATTGGTAGTTCTGGCTTTTGGAATGTCAAGGGGGTTTTTGAGTCGAAGGTTATGACCTGTTGTTTTGGGTACAAAATAGTCTTTCATGAAAACAGGATGAAATTGTTAAGTGGTTTATAAGCTTCGAGTAGGCTAATCCGTCCGAAGATAAATAGTCCGAACAGGCTAATCTTAATGCCCTCTCATTAATTTCCTCTTTAAGATATGTACCATTTTCAAAATATCAAACCAAAGGTAATAAAAATAAAGATTGTTCAGAAACACTTCGAAATGCAATTTTAGACTGTTTCTAATTCGTCTATGCTTCTATGTCATTCAGACAAATGCATTAAAAAATTGGACTGGTAGAAATTAAAACAATAAACTACACATTTATTATATATTATAAAAAGCAAGTTTTCAAAAAAACAGTAAAGAACTATCAAACAGAGATATTTGGAAGCATTTGCAAGTGACTATTTTCTTGCTAGATGAAATCAACTGCTATTGGTATAGCAAGACCATCTAAAAATATGCTTGATGTTAAGACAAGGCAATATCACAGATCTAACAAATATATATTACCTTTGTGCTGTCTCAAGTGTTTGCTCCCAGTCTTGTAGTGCAAGTTGCAGCCTCATTTTTTCTACTAAGGCTGGATAAAAGTCTGGATAGTATACAACGAGCTAAAATGCAATCAATGTGATATAAGAATAACTTATTGATAAAGCAACTATACTGGAGAGACAGTAGCAATCAAAATAAAAAAACCTATGTGCTGCCAAGTATAAAGATTGTGCCAAAAGTAATCATTATAGGATAGTGGTATTACAGTTGCATTGTTGGATAGATAAATAATTGAATATAAAAGCCATCCTTATTTATGGGAATATGCAAAATCATCATGTCTAGCTTTGCCAACCACTCAAAATACTGAGTTACATTAGTTTCTATCTATTTCAATCTTTAACTTTCTATATTATTTACCATTGATGAAATGTATATGAAAATAACCAAACAGCAGCCAGCATTGGTGTTAGCATGTTATAGTTCTTGGCAGATCTGTTCAAAGGTACTTTCAAAAGACTTGTCAGCTTTATGATGATAGAAGTGTCTACATAATTCATAGAATTATAAGCAATGACAAATATTAAGAGGAGTGTGCCAGTTATGATAACGCTTAGTTTGTGCTTAATTAGCAAGTGTCAAAAATAGCACCACAAACAATATTTTTCACATAACATCCATGCTGCTAACCTGGTTGGTTAACTCCAGAGCACCACTGAAATTGTTTTTCATCTTGAGGTAGTCCACCTACAAGACATAATGAAAACAATAGAAGGGTAGTTGAAAGTTATTGAAGCACAAATTCATTACAAAAACAAAGTTTATAAACAGTAAATATTATCATCGGCATTAAAATAAACATGAATTCTGCTGCCAAACATAAATGTTTACAGTTTACATCGCTATTGATGGGCTCTTCGAATAACCTTTTAAGATGGCTGCTTCAGCAAGGTTGTCAAGTCTAACAGCTTGGCTGTGAGACTCAAGGATATTAACCTTTTCTTACAGTCTCATGATGAGAGTTACGTTTCTTGCGGATTTCCTCCTTGGCCTCATATTTCTTCCAATTCAGATCATATGCCTCAGTGGTTGCTGAACACATTCCATTCCAATACATTGTTTATGACAATCACTTCCCAAACATGTTGATTGAATGTTTGTCAAACACGCTAATGTATCCGTATTATATATTATTATTGTTCATTGCTTTGACTGTTTATTCTTATGCTTAAAAGCCTGTTCTCTGTGTTTTTTCTGGAATGTCTTCAATATGAAATAAACAAATGTTTAGACACTCTGAATGGTTTAGTTCTACTAAAATTCGGAATTCTTCTGCCCCCAATTCTGGACCCCAGTTCCTTTGTTCACTAGCTGCGCTCATGAAATCTTACAGGTATCATTTTCCAAAACTTGGCAACCTTGCTTCAGAAAGAAAATTTTTGAGACTGAGACTTTGTGTAGTGGTAGATCTTAGGAATATGTTGTGCACGGATGAGAAAAGAAGTTGAAATTTACAAGCTGTGCAGAAATAATGTAGACATTATTTTCTTCATATAAAAACATAAAGAAAATGACATCTTGTACAATAAATTAAATGAGGTAAAGTATAAATCATGACATTGAGGTTATAATATTAGACATAGCAGCAAAGCTAACCTTTCCAAGCATTGCATCAATCTCTTTTTGACTCTGAGGACTAGCAAAAGAAAACAGGGTTAATCGGATCTGCAAATTTATTGAAAGTAAAAATAAAAATAGGAAATAGGAACATAGAAAATATTATAACTTTTTAAAGCATTCAACACATCAAACATGTTATTTAGAAGTTAAAATAGGACTGATAGAAGCAGTGATATATAAAGTGGAGCAATTAAATATCTCATGACATAGAGCCCCAAAGAAGGACTCCTTATTCACTTCACAGAAACCCCATTAAGCCTGGTTTCCATATAACTTTTATGCGTCGGCAATGCATTGTCAAAAGGTCACCAACGAGTGAAAGTTTAATGGAAACACTCTCACAAGGTTGTCAGCAAACGTGTCGGTGATGCTCTGCAAAAGTTGAATCTAGTTCAACTTTTTTCTGTCAGTGATGATCGCGATGAGTGAAAATTTTAATGGAAACATGCATCGCCGACACGTCGGCGACTCTGTGTGAACACTAGCCACACAAAACCATTATCAATCAACATGCCTACACATTAGGCACGGTTTGTTGTCAAAAGGTTCCCTAGAAGGCATGGGTTGAAAGTTATATGGAAACCTAGCTGAAGAGAATCATAGGCAATGCATCGGTGTGTTGCAGATGCATAAAAGCTATACGGAAACCAGGCTTTAAAAATCTCCAATAACTAGGATAAAATTTAGCAACCTCTTTGATATATGATAGGGTTATAGGGAGCACTCTACCACTTAGCCCCTTCATTTGAGCATCCTTGTCTATGGGACACAGTAGAAGCTATGCTACTGTGCAGAGAGTTTTTCCTAGTGTTACCAGGTGCAATATTGTCATTTTAGCATGTAAAATAGCTAGTGTGAAACCTGTTTAGCACTTCATCAAAGAATTTGATAGCTTTCTTGGTGTACTGCTCTCTTGATGATTTCAGATCTATCCAGCCACGTAGCATGAGGCCCTGGCAATGAAAAGTTTATCTTTGAAATAAACTAATTTTTGCTCAAAGCTACAGATATTTATGAAAGAATCAAATGATTCTTTTCTAGATGATTTAAATAATATAAGTTTATTGCTATAATCTTATTTTGATATCATCATCATAATAATCACTGTTGCCTATCGGAGAGTATTACTCTCATCAGGTGGGCCTTTATTAGTCCGACAAATTTGTCAGAAAACACCAAAACCCTTTGTGGTTCATCATTATTTTCCTCCAAAATTGGCTATCACCCAGCAATGTCAACTCTGATAGCTTTTTCAAAGTTTAGGGGATTTATTGACTGTTTTATCAATGAGGAACTGCTTTTGAAGAGAACTTTAATCTTGGTTGGAGTGAGTTTTTTTTCATAACAAAGAATGTCTCTTACTTGTTATTGCTAATTTTTTATGCTTTTCTAACTTCAAGGACTCTTGAAATTCAACAAAAAATAACTAATGGACAGTGTGACACACTGCCTTTGATTCCATGATTAATATGATATAAATAGCTTGTTTGTAATTTCAGCATAATTAAAGATTTACCTGATTTCAGAGAATTCTTTAGGAACAGGCAGTAAAAAGCATAAAAAGTACCAACCAATATAAAAGCACCAACAGTCTTAAAAAGTCAAAGTGTCTTACCTCTTTTGACTGAGGAGACATCTTCAACATCCTGTCAATATACTCCCTTGCTTTATCAGGTTTTCCACTGTGAAACAAGAACATTCCAGCAAAATATAATGCAGTCTCCCCACAGGATGTTCTTTCAGCCTTCAGCTTTGATTCCAGCTGTTTTACAGTTTCTTTATCCACCATTTTTGTTCTCTTGTGTGCAATAATCAAAGCCATGCATGAACAAAGTATGACATCACGTTTATCTTTGATTCCGTCAAATTCTGATATTGCTTCAGATATCTGTTCTACAAAAATAAAAAGAAGATAAAAATCTTTGTTATTTACAATTGACTCATAACAAGTGATAAGGCAGTTTCTTGCAAAAAATCCACAAAAAATTAATTATAAGCTTGTATACCTTCCATTAGAATTCCAAACGCTTTCCAGAAAATGAGAACAGGATCATGTCCATACTTTTGCAAAGACTCAAGACAAATATTTTGCAGTTGTCTATAATACCCTTCTCTGCAACAGTAGTTAATTTTGGCCTGCAAAAAAGCACACCAGTCCTGAATTATGGTAAACAAGGTAATTGAAGAACAGCTTGCATTTACAGCTCTTTGAATATAGTATATCAAGAAAACAAAAACATAGCATACTATTGAGTACTTTTCATCTGACACGGCTTAAACAATACTGTTCTACTGGACAGAAAACCAGGATTAATAAGAACTTAGATGCTTCATTTTTTTTCTTCAAATTCAGCCATTAGTACAAATATGCTGTACAGCTGATTCCCATTTTGTTAAAACCTTCAAAGGAGGCAGGGAAACGATATGACTTGGTAAAGGCAGACTTATCATCCGTAGTTTGTTGTAACCAGGGGAGGCAAAAATTGACTTAAACCAAGTTGTAAACAATGTAAATTTTTAAAAACCATACTTTTTCAACTAAATTTTTATAGGCTACATTTTAGAAAAGTCTGTAAAGTGTTTCTGAATATTGTTTGTTATCCATTGTTGATCATTAGACATTTTTGGCATTAGACAAATCCAACAACTCTAAAAATTTGTTGTGGAACTTGGATGGTCATAGCATTTGAAAAGGCCAAGAAACAATAAAAAAATGTCAAACAATCACAAAGGATCTTGTAAAATTTGCAACACAATGGATTTTTAATAAAAAGAAACAAAGCATGTTGTGTCTGATGGAATTTGTTTATATAGGTTGACAAAGAAGTATGCTATAACTGAAAGTATGTTTTAAATAAGCATGTTATAAGCGGGGTACTTTCATAACGTAAAGTAAGGAACTTTTCCGGGACCAAGTACACCAGTATGTTTTATCCAAAAGTATGTTATAACCAATGTTATAATGGGATTATACTGTACATTATCAACATATATATCTTGTGCAACATAGAAAACCATTATGCCTTCAGATTAAATGAAAAGAAATAAGCAACACGAAAAGCAAATGATTTGACTTAAATATAGATAATACAAGAAGATAATACTTCTCTTATCTAGGTTATTGCATCATAGAAGTAGCATAGTATGTTTGGTAAAATGTTTTTGGTACCTCTTCAATAACAAAATTATACTGAATACTTTGGATGACAACTAGTGACAAATTACATTTGAAATTCATATAAAACATAACTCAATGTTAAAGTACTGAAAGCAGGCCTGGCTGCTTGTATTTTTATAGGTGAGCTGTGAATTGCTCCCCTCATTTGCTGAGGCGAGCTAAATCAGTAACACATGGAATGTACTTTAAAGACAATCGACAGATGACTTAATAAGCCCCTTTAGTATCTGTTGGTTGCCTTAATGTAATAGCCTCAGTCAGGAGTGTGCTGTTTTACTTCTTTCAATTTGTATTTTGTTTTAACTGTGACTTAGGCACCCCCTTTACTTGAAGTATTCATAAGAACAGACTCTTTCAGTTTTATGTAAAGCTGGCACAACGCAAAAACAACAATTCTCTTGCAAAACAATCTTTTTATTGCACAGAATTTGAAAATGGCTTTGAAAAAAAAATTCAAACCAAGCTGAAGTTATATGTCTAGCACTCTTCAGAGAATAAAATGGCAGAACATAGATGGAAAACTCTACGCTAAAATACCCAGTTTTGGATCGAAATAGGCCAATCAAGAAAAGCAAGCACATGGCTGTTGAGGTTATGTCTACACAAAAGCAGTCGGTCATGTTTATATAGTAGATATGTTCACACACTGCTAGATGGAACGATGATCAGGCTTTGCCAATAACGCGAAACATGTCGCCGTTATAGTTTTTCACCCAATCTGGGTTTTTTCAGTAGATGCTGCTGGATAGTGGAATTCCATGTTTTGGTTGTTGTTTTTGATCTGCAAGACAGAGTACCTTGTTCTCTTTGAGGGATAATTTTGTTTCTATTGCTGGAAGGGACCTGCTGTCTTATTATATCCCCAATCTACAATTCCTACCAATTTCTTCGACTTTCCTTCCAAAAATATTCCTGTTTTATTAAGATTGAAAGGTTCTAATCGCTACAAACGTACTTTTCCATTAACTATTATTTTCAGAATAGATTGAAGTTTATGCCTATCATAAAAAACCGCCCAACAAGCAAAAAGTTAATTGCAAAAAATGCAATTGACGGGAGAAATTGCTGTTACAAAAATAAACCAATTAACCCTTATACGTTTTCAGGGTTCTCTGAATAGGAAAGGGGCAAATGAATGGAAATTTTAGGGGAGCGATTCTCCCTTCATGTTCTGTTTAGGAGAGCAATTCATAGCTCGCCTCAGGTTGCGAGGGGAGCGTTTGAGCACGAGCTATCGCTTCCTCAAACGGCCAGGCCTGCTGAAAGGTATCTGAATTCTACAAAGTATATGACATTTTGTTCTAAAAGCTATGTCACAAAGCTTTATCATTTATTTATTGAACCCAGGGTACTAAACAGGCTGCTAAATTGCAGATATGCTAGAAAAACAACACAGGAAACATTCAAAGCAAAAGTTAAGCAAGACTTTCTTACATTTACTTAAAAGCCAGGGGACCAGGAGGGCACATCCCTTCTAGTTTTCAGATATAGAGTCCCTATTTGCAGCTCAAAGAGGTGCCCTTTCCTTCTAAACTTGTCCCTCACTCTTGAAATGCCACCTTTAACAATAAGGCTTCTTAACTAACCTTACCCTATACTTTCTTAGTTACCGATTTTGCAAATCAAAACCCACCTTTAGCAATCTAAAGTTACTTAATTTTGATAACTCTACTTCCTTGAAACAGCTATGGCTAGTATGAAGCTAAATAAAGGAACTAACTACAAACATATTGAGCACAAATTTTTGAAATAAACCGATCACAGCATCATTTTTTCAATATCATCTTCTAATAATTATTTTTCCCTTTCATATTTTTTCACCCAACATCAAAAGAAATTTTCTGACATAGGCTCCCATGGAGTATTATATTTTGTGACATGTCCGCCAGCTTTTAAGCGGTTTTATTAGAATTGTTCATGAATTTAATAGGAATTTCAAGTAACTGCTCTTGTTATGATGGACGGGTAAAATCGAATATTTTGTCTCATGACCAAGTTTGTGCTTTTCACTAAAAGTTTATAAGAGTAAACAATTATGTTTTGCATCAAATTTCCTCGATAGCGTTTGTTAGAAATAGAGACTCCTTTTATCAATACTACACCCTGTCTGGCAGCAGCATACACTCTTCAGAAAAAAATATTTTACAAAGAACGCTGACGCGTGTGCTACACAATTATCTTATGTCTATAAAATCTTTATCAAATAAAATAGCATTCGATTGTACTGCAAAGACAAACTCACAAGAGTCACCGAGTCAGTAGCAGCCATCTTGTTTGCTAACGCTTCCAATTTGCGTCAAAATCAGTCTTGGCAATATCGTTATTTCGATGTGTTTACCTGGAAGCAGACAAAATCTAGGCCTACAAGCTGCAATGTGGATACGAGGTCGGTTACCATGGTGTCTGCCTCAGAAGATAAACAGGTTATTAAATCTTTACTGTGAAGATCTATTAATGTTGGAAACGTATAATACACAGCAAGGTATTAATACCACAGCTTTCTTGTGATTTATTGAAATCAATATTTTGTCTCTAAAGATAGATCAGTTGGCTTCTAAAAAATAGGCAACTTCTGCAAAATAAACCAGAACTGTGCCAAAAAGCTTCATCGGGTGAGCGAAAGTATAGAGTTCTAAAGTGATGGCGTCACAAGAATCTGTTTTTAGAATTTTTATTTTGGATCCCATAGCCTGAAAGAGCATCATGAAATACCTCTAAATATGCAAAATCAGTCAAATGTGTCACGAATTGGCTGAGATATGACCACATGTGTATTGGCTTTCCCCCCATCAAACCTCTGTATTTTTGGACTCTGTTCATAACTTTATGAACAGAGCGAAAATAACAGTGATTCGTTTGCAAAATTCCAAATCTTTCATTGGCAATATTTCAACTGATTTTGGACACATTTGACTAATTTTGCATATTTGGAAATATTTCATGATGATCTTTTATGTTATGTGGTTAAAATTCAGAAATTCTAAAAATAGGTTTTTGGTGACGGTCACACTTTAGAACTCTATTGCACGGTACGAATACGAGTGTTGATGACACAGAGTTATAAGCAACATGGTCATCAGAATTTTGACCATTTTTAGAAATCATGAGACGCCAGTCTTTAGTTGTGAACCATATGGTTGATAGTTGAAAGTCATTTGTATAAAGATTTTAAACACGGCTTGTTAAATACATAAAATACACTTACGTTCAAAAATTATTGGGACACACTTCGAAATTTCGAAGACATTTTATGCAACAAACTTGGAAAGACTTTTTTAAAATCTTTCTCATTAAATAAGTACAGCAGCTATTTCCATGAAACTTTCACAATACATCGTTGATGTTTTGACGCATTTTATGTACGCCAAACAATTAAAAAAACATCGACCATAAAATTTCTATAGGCCTTGAGACGAAAACCTGGAGGCTCTTGAAATTCAAGAACTGAGTTAAAAGAAGCGCTTACAAATTGCTTTCTACTAAAATAAAGCAAATGAATTTCGTTAAATTGCATCAATTGTCGGGTGCTCAATGAGTGCAGCTTTTCTGGTGTGTAAAAAGATTTTCCGTACAAGATCAGAAAAAAATTTACCAAGGGATGGCAGACCGAAGAAGTTTACGACGCCGTGGGACGGAAGATCTTTACTGAGGGAACTGCGAAGTAATAGGTTTGAATCCTTACTAGAAATTGTGTTGTCATGTAAAAAGAAGCTAAATGTTGGAACATAAGCAAAAATATGGCTATAAAAATCATGAAAAAATACAAATTTTTCAGCTTTATAGAAAAAAATATGCTCTCTCATAACAAAAATTAAACATCGCTGACGAATACAATGGATTCTCCTTGAATGTTACGCAGTTTCAAAATGGACTCGAGTAAATGCAATAATTTAATAAATTTGTAGCATTTTCGTTGATGTAGCAAACTTTATTTGAAGAATAAAATTTTGATTTTGTAATTTCTTTTATAAATTTCTTTGTTATGCAAACGTGAAATTAAAAAGTTGAATTTGTTTGGACATCTCTAAAATTTTGTGAAGGTCATGTGACTTTGCTGTTATTAGGCTATTCGACCCTTCTGCATATTTTGTTGTTATATTCAGGAAAATCTGAAGAATCCTATGTTTTCAAGGTTATGCTTTATAAGTTGAAGCATTTTCTTAACTTTTTATTCCACTTTGGGGATACGTAGGCCTAGATTACTTGGAGAAAGACTGCCCAAATCTGAAAAAGTTTCCGTTGCAAAACCGAATCCAACGCAACGCCATAATTCGTTTATCGAATTTGTCCCAATACTTTTTGAACGTAAGTGTACAAATTTATTCGCAAGAACACATTTAGGTATCGGAGAGCCAAGATGACCATTTCTGGCCTTGCAAAATGTAATATTATGTACAATTACGTCAAAAAGTATTGGGACACCTTCGATAAAAGAACTATGGCGTTTCATTGGAACTTAAACTTGTTCAGATGTGGACAGTCCTTTTTCTCATTATCGGCCTATGTATCCCCAAAATGTGGTTAAAAGACACTTCAATTCTGGAAAAGCATTGGAGTCTTGCAGTTTTCTGTATATAACAGCAAAATAAGCAAAAGAGTTGTATTGCCTTATACAAATGGCAAACTCACAGGATCTTATCAAATGGCTGCTTCATGAATGCCAATAAGGGACTTTAGTTCCATGGTTTTCGTAGCGAATTTGGTCTTTTCATTCAATGAATTGATGAAATTCTGTCTGTCTCGGCTAATTTTAGGCAGTATTTGGTCTCTAAACAATATCGCAACAGATTGGAAAATTATCAATATAATGACTTAGGACATAAAATCTCAAAATGGCCTCCGTCATTAGGCTCATTGCAGTGTCAAAAATTTCCGACCAAGACATTTAGTCTATTCTTGATCAACAGTGAGAAAATTAGCAGTTATGAAAACTGTAGCATAAATTAGGTTTCTCCAAATTTATCATAACGAAAGTGTGTGCAAAGATATTCTTTTTTATGAGAACATTTTTCAATTACTTATATCATGATACACTTTTTTACAAGAATTTTGTTTAAAAGAATATTCAGGTTAGTATCATCCAATATTTAAAAAAATTATTAGAATTTAGCTTAGACATAACTCCAATAATTTTTTCTCCTTTTTTAGCTGTTGCCTGCTTTGCTTGTTTAACAAATGACTAACATATATAGCTTCTTATGAAACCTGGTTTCGATTTGAGGGGTGGCTGATATTACCCCATAACCATACTAGGTTTGAAAAATAAGAAAACTTTCATTTATCTTTTCATGCTCAAAAACAAACATTTCTTAAGGGTATCGAAGCTGGAAAAAATTGAAAGAATTCTTGTCAGAAATTGTGAAACTCAATTTTCGTTATTTTGCAGCGGTCGATACTATTTGAAAATACAAAAGAATTCAATCATGTCTGCATTTTAATATGGGGGCTAAATCTCGTTCCAACGGCCCTGTAAGAAAACGATAACTTTTTAATTTCATTATAAGAGAATCAAATAAAAAAATTGGGGTTTGAAGTCAATTGTCCTTCAAAATTATCGAAATATGGATACTTTCATCTAAAAGAAAACAGTAAATATAAGTAACTTGAAAATTTACAGGGCTTGCCATACCGCTCAATAACTTAGATCTTGCAGAAAAATTGAATGAATTGAGAAATTGATACCGAAAATAATCTACTTATCTTACGTAAAAATTAAAAACCTACTTTTTGAGAAATCTTGAATTTTATGACAATTGGAGAAACTTGCATCAAGGAAAATGGTTCTGGCCTAAATTTGACCTCAAAATTATTCTGGCCTAAATTCTACCTACAGAGACAAAAGGAACGCTAGTCAAAAAAGGCACTGTTACACCATCTGGTCTAAAAATCAATCAAAATAAGTATTCTGTCAAAGAAAAAAGATAACTTGACAGAATTTATTATAAACAAATTGTGGCGATTTTTCGGTGTTAGACTTTTTTAGCTCTAAATGGGCTGATTGAAAAACATAGTCAAAATTTTCTGGAAAAAGTTATCCGTTACAAAGCAAACAGAATTTCTTTGGACCACTTATACTCTGCTGTTAAGTTCCGTAGTACGTGGGACTAGACTGTCCAAAGATACCTTATATGCGGAAGAACAAGATACTCTAGTGTTGACTCCCTTGAACAGGTTTATTACTAAGAAGATATAAATACTATGGTATTTTGACAAACTGAACATCTCGAATGGCTTTCAGAATCAAATATATTTATTCTGCATGACGTATTTTGCGTTACAGACAGACGTTAAGCTTCACTTTCCAGTAAAGAGATCAATAGAAATATTGATTGATCGTGTTCACTTTTCGACTTAACCGTACGATAAAGTGCACAGTCACTTGCAAAAAGGTTAATGGTTGGATCATGTCTAAAAAGTACAGTGCCAAGGACCGAGCCATGGGGAGCACCAAAGAGGACATTGCTAGAGGACATTTAATTTCCTTTCACAACAACTTTTGGCGTCCTATTAGTACAATGAAATATTGAATCCAATGATAAATCAAGAGCGAACAACAGGCAATATCTGATAATATGTCCGATTTCAATCGAATAACTTATAAACTATCTTAATATCCAAATATGCTGTGCAGAGCCGTAAATGACATTAACATATAATGCAAATAAAATTAATGAAATTTCTGTATTTAGTAATAAAACTATCAAGAAATAGCCTTTCGTCAAACGATGAATTAAAAGAAAACGAATCAAATGTGGAGAGAAGTTCAACAATAGGTGCTTGTTTTATGCTGCTTCATAATATCTTTAAAAGTGCAATGAATATGTTTTCCAACTGCAGACATCACTCAAGATCGTTCATGTTATACAAAGTATAATCCAATTGCTCTAAGCGTTACATGTCACATATGAAGCTGGACCCGCTCCGTTCGCCTTTATCCAGTATCGTGGTCCACCCTCCGGATACTCCTGGATGGCTTCAGAACACGACTTAAAAGTATCTGAAACGAGATAAGTCGATGTCATTTGGCAGCAGAATAAGAAATTAGGCATATTATTGCTTATAACTTTTGCTACTCGTTAGAAGATTGGTCCAACTAAAAGAGTACTGAAGGTATATTTTTATGAAGAGATTGTATGAATAGCTGTTTTTGGCGTGGATGATACGAAACAATGTGAATTACTTATTCCGCTTTTAGATGTTGCAACTGCTCCTGGTTGCAACTTTGAATTCACTAGTGCCTTCCAAGTAAACTCAATCAGTTTTTTGACTGAAACAGATTATAAACTCTTTCTAGCACTGTTTCAAAAGCGTGTTTTCCCAAATGGTCATACCCAACTTTCTTGCAAATTTTGTTTTGTCATTGTCGAAGGCCTTTCTCAAACGTACGTAACATTTCAATCGACAACGTTCAACATTGTAGAATATGCTCAGTAAAGTTTTCAGTGAAAAGTTTTCAAACATTTTTCAAGAAACATCCTTTAAGCAAGAAACAGCTATTTTTATGCAACATTTGTCGAGCACCGAAATCCAAAGAGCGATAAAGACGTGTCACGTGTACCTAAGTACATGTCACGTCACGGGGCTTGCATTGATACAAGGGGTGTTCAAAAGCTATGGGCAATGCTCGAAAAAAACCAAGAAGGAAAGAAATATTGAGTCGATTCAGTGGCAAAATTTTTTTTGAAAAGGGTTTTCTGAAGGTTTCCAAACGTTCACAACAATTCAACTCTACAAATATCGAGCCTATGAAGAATCTAGATATAGGTCCTTAGTATGCAGGTGTTTGAAATCCTTCATTCGCAATCCTGGATTTAAATGCATTGTAAAGTTTTTCAAGAAAAACTGATTTTCTGCTTTCTAAAGTATATCAAATTTTCAAGATTTTTGTGTTACCTTGACATTAAATATACGTATAAAAAGAACCCGAAGACATCGAGAACAAAATGAGCGACAAAAACTAACCGAAACACTCCAACTTTCCAATCGTATGATAACCAACCTCTCCCGTACCGCCTGTATCTCCGAGCCTTATTTTTGTCAAAGGAAGTATGGTATAATCACTGAAATATCCTTCATCTGTAAGGTGCTTCGAAGAAGTATTTTCATCACAATTGCACTTTTTAGAACTGAGGGAGCAAGTGCCAGTAATCCCGCAGGCGCAACCGACTCCACCAGCAGGGCCGCCTCCAAAGTAGTCAAGTCTTGTACCGTTGCGGCTAACAGCCCAAGCATGGCGTTCCAAAATCATGTCTACACATTCAAGCTTTGTAAATTGTCTGCAAGAGCCAAGCGCATCCACAAATGCAATAATGTCTGTCAGTGTATTGATGGGATAATTGATTTTCCTAATGTAAGAGCCGGCCGCTTCATATCCCTTGACCTTCGTTCTAGCCTCGCTGTCATGATCAATGAGTGCGGAGTATGTCAGATCGCTGTTCTTGACGCATTGTGCGTAGACAGCCGTTGCCAATCCATCTAGCATTATCCAGTGAAAAGCATTGCTGCCAGGAGATACTTTCAATGCATCCCTGCATGTTTTGAAAATTTCTGTGAAAAAAAACAGTTATATCCATGAATAAATAGCTTGTGTGAATTGATTCCATCTAATTTTGAATACAGAGCAAGAATGTTTCAGAACGGAACCACCCCTGACATTGAGAATAATTATAATTCTTACAGCAGCTCCTGATAAGCATTCACTCTTGAAACGCAAGTCTTCATGATAGCATAAAATGGAAAGCGTAATTAACATTAAGTGCTAAGCAAAAGACAAGAGAATTTTCAAATATAAAACAGACAACAGAGTCTTGAAAACTATCTTTCCTCAACTTATGGCACGCATTTGTTTTTTTATCGCAATTTGCAAGAAAAAGTATCCTATATAGGCTTTAATGAAAGAGGTTATTTTATGACAAAAGGGGCACTTTTATGGAAGAATCGTAGGATAGCTGACTTTTTAAAGTTATTTTAAAGTCCAAGGTTGAATTCTCAACATTTGCTGAGCTGTTTGTTTCTGGAAGCACTTGCACTAGACGTACTCATTGGGCCTCTGTATTGCTGCTGCTCTACTTTACGGACACTACAACAGTGCTTCAGTAATGTGAGGCAAAAGAGAAATAGAGACTCATGAAGTAAGTCTACCCTTGCTCAACATAACCCCTAAAGAGTTTCGAAGTGAGCTTTGAAGAACAAGACTGACGCGAGATTGGGGATATTGATCCTTCTTCAAAAGAGTGAAAAGTTTAGGGAACTGTAAATGAAAAAGTAATTAACGAGCATAAACACATTATAGGAAATAGCAAAGGACTACAATATCAAGATCTGGATTTGAAGTATAGGCTTGTTCATCATAATTGGCTGCCAATCTATAGATATGAAGTTGGCACGTTTTATATCAATTGCTTTTCAGTTATTGTCTATTAGCTCTTATGTTTTTTCTTTACATACATAAGATGAAAAGGAAAGTACCTGGTCCATAGCAGTCACATCGGTAGTTCTCGCAGGTATCTACACACGTGCAATGAGCGGGACACGGATTACTTTCCAGATTCAAGCATCGGCTGCCAACCTAAAAAAATTGTAGTCTTGGCAGTATATTTTAGAGTACTGTGCAAGATAGCAAACCTACGGATGTGCTTACAAAAGATAAAAAGTCTTCTAATGAATTGATTAAAGATGAAACATTGACAAACAGGTAAAAAGCTATAAAAGAATACCTTTCTCGATATTTCTTTACTTCCTGTATCATAAAGATTCCAACCATTCTTTGCAGTTACCTTCCTTGGCATAGACATATGATCGTCTTTCAGCAAATGGCAGTCGATCTTACTATCAGTGCGTTTATGTGTGTTCATTGCCACACATTTTGCAACGTTGACGCACAAGTCCATACATTCTACCAAATCACTGGTGACGTTTTTTGCAATTGGTTCTTCATCGAGTATATGATCATTTGCAATGCGGTAAAAAGTTGCCTCGCTACCGCATGTACCTTTGAAGACTCTGCGACATCTCGCTAGAGCTATTAGCTTGAGTATTACAAGGATTATGAAGCAGAATTGATCAGACATTGTCAAAATTTGTCTCTTGGCAAATGACGGGCAAAAGAATCTGCAACAATCCTGATTAAGCTGATGTTTATCAAAAAGTATCCAAAATTAATTATGTAGATCGATGACAAATCAATTGAAAATGAAAAGCCACCCTGAATGCTACCACGGTGTTTAGCAACAGCACCAATACCTGCTAAAGATTTTCAAACATATTGACTTTTGTGACACATTATGTTGCTTTAAAAGGTAATCATTTTTGGTCGTCTTAGGGACAACAAATAGTGACATACTAATTATTTATCATAAACCTAACTTGCAGTGTGAATGATGTATGAAACAACCACGCTAGATCTTTTAGGTTTTGGCTGAAAATCTTTTGCTTTTCGGGCTTATCAACTGCTTTTAAGATTTGTGTATCATTAAGGCAAAAACCTGTTTTAGAGGGAATGGAAAGGAAAGCCCTAGACAAAATTCCAGAACTTCGTCACATTCTATTTTTCTTTGACTTTTCATTGAAAAAAATTGTTTTCCATATCCTGCAAATTACTGCATAAAAACTTGAGCCAATAAAATCTTTAATTTTTTCTTAGTGGTAAGGCTCCTTCTGGCTTCCTTAAGCGCGGGGTTTTTGGCTGTAACTCCCCCTGGACCCCCGTAAAACCACCGCGAAACGTGAAGTCATCAAAGCCCTCGGGTGAGTTACTGAGCCTAATTTTGGCCATTTTGGTTAAAAATTTGGACCCATAATTCCGCACATGTCTGAAAAATGTGACCCATAATTCCGCAAACATGATGAAAACTATACCCATAATTCCGCAAAGCAAATAACATTCTTAAAGCACAAAATAATCATCGAACAATTTTCGCATATCCTTTACCCACAATCTCAATATTACATATATTTCATCTGTAAATCCCAGTAATTTTGCAATATTTTCCCAAAATGATACCCATAATTCTGCATTTTTGTTCAAATGGTGCCTATAGTTCCGCACATATTTCAAAAATGACAGCCATAATTCCGCACTTTTCAGAAATAGGTACTCCTAAGTAACGATACGTCCCCGTACCTTCAAACATGTTAAGATACCCCCCCCCCCGAGTTAAAGCCCCATCATGTTGTTTACGCAAGTATTTTTCAGCAATTTGTTCTTTTTGAATACAGCAACACGCAGGTGGTAGAAAGAAGTTTGCATTAGGTTTGAGATTCAATTTGTGCGATGGAATCCATGCAAAAAGAAAGTGAGATAAAATATGTTTAAAGTTGCAAATTCCTGTTCAAATCTCCAGGCGCTTCTGCGCTGGTGGCCTCTGCGCAGGTGGCCATTGGCGTCTATTGTTGTAAAGCTATTGTATTTGTTGATCAATTGCTCCTTCTTTGTTTCTAATTGTTTGGCACTGTGCAGAATAAGCAAGGCTATTTTACTACATTCAATATTAAGAATATGTAATTTATCATTTTGGAGTAAATTCTTCGAGTTTTCTTCCTCCATGTAGGATATGAGCATGGGAAACATATTTTCACTGGCAAAAGACTGTAAGTGTTTTCTCGACGAATTTCCGAAAATGCTGACATCATTCATTGAAATACTATTTGGTGTAACAAAGATTCTACAAGACATGGAAGAAGTTTCAATTGATTTAAAGGAAATTTATGAATTGTTAGAGCTGTCAAGGAAATCTTACAAGGATGGTGATGATAATATCATACAGCAAAAAGCGGATATCGTATTGAATGAAGTGAAACAAAAACTCCTTGACGCAACCGTAAACGAAGCGAAACAGAGAAAGGCATTGCATAAAATCAACTTGGTTATTGAAAATCTTACTCAAAAGACTAAATATAACGAGTCCCTGTGATGAGATTTTACCCACAACACAAGATATCCTCAAGTATTTCCATTAAATATGGAAGAATTGAAAATACCTGTTTATGATGCGGTTGTTTATTGACTTCAATACCAGCAATGCTGTATTGGATCTTCTTTTGCAAAGCTCTAACTAAAAATATCTAGATTGATAAAGCAACATATACCACCCTGAAATGTCAATCGTGGGTCTTGGGCTGATGAGTTGCTTTTATAATACCCTCATTTTATTGTCTTGCACTTTGATGCGTGAAATAGATGATTTTTGCGATATCAATGATCATGATGATTCAATCAAAATATTTTGAACTGATTTTTGGTTATCATGAGGTTATCCTTCTAAATTTTCTAAAACTAGCAAGTCCCGAATTTCTGGAGAATTTAGCAGAATTATAAAAACTAAAGACAACTGTGACAAATTTGTGCTATTAAAAATTTATAAGGAATTTACTTTAAAAATTAATTGATACAGCTTGTTGATAATTGATACAGTTTAAAGCTTATGCTTATAGTTCATAAATACTAAATTAATCATATGTTTCATGCAATGGATCATTGTAACAGTGGAAGGAGAATATTCTTAAAATATGACAAATACATCACAAGCAAAGAACTATACAAGATCAAACTATACACCTGTATGCCTGTACAAGATGACACTTCATTGAATAATGGAATACCGATATGACGAACTTTAAAGGAAACCAGGAATGTAAATTAGGACTGGAGACTGTTGAACCCAGAGCACGTTAAACCAGAGCATTCTAACTGTAAAACCAGAGATTGTTATATCGGATGAGAGGGTGATGGGGAAAGGGGGGGGGGGTCGTTACATCAAGTTTCCTCTATGTTTGGTTATAACATTATTTTAAACAGTTGTAATTAAACTTTTTGTGATGCCCTTTGTTTTTTTCTTTAATATATTGCTATGATTAATTGGTATTACGACAACGCCAGCCTTAAACAAAATCTATGACCATCATCTCTATTGAAATATTGTAAGTCAGGAAAAACGAAATGGACGATCTTTAAAAATAATAGTGTTACAGAATCGCATAGAAAATATCTTCGTCGATTTTGCCTTGCAAAGTTTAGCTATTTCGTTTTCATGGATATCAAAATTTAAGGAAGTTTCTTTTAACACTGATAACGAAAGGACAATACCTTTGGAAATTAGAAATCATGAAAAAATGTGGGAATTACAGTTTTGATTTCAATGTTAAACTTGCTATAATATCCATGTCTCTCAGAAAGAAAAAATAAATCTGTGAAGTTAATAATTCTTTTTTCATTGTAAAAGCCAGAAATGTTTCGCCTTTTGTTTTTTCTTCTGTCTGTCGATCAGATTTAATTGACCATTTTCTTAGAAACAACTGACTGAGAGTAAAATATTTCAACTTTGTCAGGCATTATTAAAACTGCAATCATCATAAAGTGTAACCATTACTATTCTCAAAGATGGAAAATGTTAATATAACATGATCCAAGTCAAGTACATCAGTACATAGCGATAATATTTACACGACATTCAAATTGATGTAGCAGCAACACAAATCAGATTATCGATTCTAAAGGTTTCTTAGGGGTTTCATAACATCGTAAACACTTTTTTCACGAAAAGCATACTTAGTTACTGAGATTTTTACCAGAATCTGATGCTATTTAGCTTTATGGATATATATAGCTACTTGTGTACATGGTGCAACATGATAGGCAAATTATTATAAAAGCCTAGATACATATTGATATATACTTACTTATATAATATATACATATTGTATATATTAATATATACATATTGTATATATTAATATATACATATTGCATATATTAATATATACATATTGCATATATTAATGTATACATATTGTATATATTAATATATACATATGTACAGCGGGAACTTTGGTATTCAACTCATTTGTCTCTGTATGAAAAACTATGGTAAACCATTATAGATCATCTAGTGAAATTGTTGAACAACAAAATTGAAATAGTTAATGCAGACAAAAATGGTTCCTTAGCAAAGATTTTGGTGTTAAAAGTTTTCAAGTACAGGGTTCATGGTCAAGGAATTGTCAAAATGATTCAAAGAGTAAAGTTTTCGATAAAATGTCAATCGGGGAGTGTCAAATCATTGAATCATCAAACTGATGATTCACAAATTGATTCCTAAATAGAGTTGATTACGATACTTCAGAAAAGATGAGATTTTACGTTTAATGCTAGGAATATAATCACAATAGTAACACAGTTATAATGCTAGGAATGTAAGGGGAATTATTATCAATATGCTTAGATATGTTAATTGACAGATGCAAACTTTGATAAGTTCCTAAAGTTTTGAACCAAATCCAAAAGAAAGTGGCTTAATATGTTAAGTAAATGAGGTTCAGTTGAATTTTTCTAAGCCAATATTGCTGTTATTCGATCATTTTATCGTATCTGTGGCTACTGTTTAATCATGTCATTACTTTCAAACACTATTGGACGAATTATATGTAAGACAAGATGCAGCACCGAAATTCAATTCAATACAAGAACAGCCTTAAGCAAATTATTTATCATTGAGTCGTTTTATATACAGATCCATACTTTTGTGGTTGTTTATGCTTTAAATGACAACAATGCAAAAAAAGCAAGTAAAAACGTGAACCTTGTTGTGTGATAATTAGAACGGTTTTTAGCATGGAAACATTTTCCAATTCACATTTAACAAAAGCTCTAGTTTGTGTGAAAAACTTTGTGACTTCAGTGTTAATGTTTTTATGTCTATTTATATTCATTTTCGGGTTAGCTTATCAAGTGAAAAAAATTAAAAAAAAAACTTGTTCACTCAAGGCCTGAAATGAAGGCCGTAGTCAAATTTTGTTATTGTAACTTTATTTGAACCTATTAAATGCAGTGTGCGTCGATTTCAAAATCGTACTATATATGTGCTTTATAGGTAAAGCGAATTAATGCGGAAATTTAATTTGGAAGAGGGGGGGAAGGGAGAGATATTTGTACTATAGCTTCCGAACCGCGGTGAAAATGAGACCGCAAAATGAGGGCTGCAGCAAGGGTAGCGTATCTTAAGAGAGTCTCGTCGTTTGTGTCTTCATACCTTAAAAGGTCTTGTCAGGAAACTCTACTGCATTCTACCTTGCTGTACTTTGTAATGAAGACCAGAGGATATGCATACAATAGAAACATGGTACTGCAAGAGGTTAAAAAGTGCCTTGTTGGACACTTCTGATACAGTTCTAGGCAAATCAGTGTAAATTATTACAGGATTGAAGTAGTTTCAACAGATCGCAGAAGCGGGGGTTTTCGATCCTCCCCAACAATTTCCAAAATTTACTTGCAACTTTAAAAGAATCGCATGCTTAGCCCCCGACATGCTTTGGCTTTTGGCATGATTAGCCCCCAACAATATTTTAGCCCCCCTCAGTCTGCAACATGCTCTGCAGTACTTAGTTGTTTCATAGCATCAAACCGTATTTGATGATAATCAAAATATTTGAATAACAGGTACAGTGCATTTGCGTGCATATGTTGGTATTTATGCACTCGCTTCTTGGCATTCAAGCTTCCCAATCGTATGAAAGGCATACTCGGAAGATGCTCCAGTGTCTCCCCACTGTATCTTTGTTATTGGCAGATCGTCTTTGAAAGTTACGTAGCCTTCGTCAAACGTCAAAGTATCAGAATTAGCATCGCAGTTGCATTTTTTTGTGCTTGCTAGGCAGCTGTTTGTGATTCCGCAAGCGCAACCGGAGCCGTCGTGCGGCCCACCGCCAAAATACCGTAAAGCCTTGCCATCTCGCCCCAAAAGTCGGCCACAGATTGTGCCTAATCCATTTACAAATGTTGTGCCTCTACAGTCAACACGGGTGAACTGTCGGCAAGATGCTGAAGCACTTACAAACCCAACGATATCTGCAATTTTGTTAAGCTTATACACGAGTGCATGCTCATATGACAAGCAGGTCTCGTATCCTGAGATATATTTTTTGAATTCACTGTCATGACTAAAGTAGGCCCACACTGTTCCATCTGACTTCTTCTCGCATTCAACAAAAACAGGTGAAGACATGCTACCCTTTCTGATTGAAAAATATTGCTTCGTGACAGACGGAAATGCTTCGAATGCCTTGGCACACGATGGGAATGTTTCTAAGTGAAAGAATGACAGAACTTTGTTAAGTAATTTAGAATGTTGGTAAGAGTTTAAGTAAAAACCGAAAAATCTTGAGGTTAATACTGATGTATCGTTACTGCTTGATGCACAGAAATAAATCCAACCTACCACTACACTGGAGACTTCCGATTGTGTGATAAGCATATTCGTTGCTCCCATCTGTATCACCCATTGCAATTGCAGTTAGTGGTAAAAGCTGCTTGTTAGTTTCGTAGCCCTCGTCGTGGTTTAACACTTCTGTATTTATATCACAATTACACTTTTTATCTCTGCTCACGCATGTCCCTGTTTTTCCACAAGAACAGCCAAAAGTCCCTTCTGCTCCCCCAGGAAAGTGGTCCAGCCGTTGACCTTAATAAAGCGAAGAGATAAATTGTAATTCACAGAACTTTATCAAGATTAAAGCTAGACATGGAGACAAAATGGAATATGGTCGATAGGCTTGTCAATTTTGCTACACCTTCGCAAATTTAAGAATGAAAAGGTGCTAAAATATCTAGTTCATTAACTTTTTGCGTTAAAGCAGGATCCCATCTACAAGAACGGTTGCTTATAACTGCAAATCAACTTGTATGTAACTGTGACATACGGCATACCAAAAGAAATGCGTTTACAAACCTTTCCGGTCAAAAAGTGCCAAATATTGGTTACCACCGTAGATTATCGAAGTTCCATGACAGTCAACTCTTACATGCTGCTTGCACTGGAATGATGAATTGACAAAGCCTATGATACTTGGCATTCCATTGTAGTATCTCAGGTTCTGTTTATAAGACAATGCAGTATTGTATCCTTTGACATACTTTTTTGCTTCATTGTCGTGTTTGAATATTGCCCAAACAACAGAATCAATCACTTTGCATTGAACACGTACTGGTGCCGACGATGTCTCAGGTTTAATGAAGAAATTAACTTCACTTGGAAACATCAGCAGTGCCTCTGTGCATGAGCTGAATACGTCTAAAAATGAATATTTTTTTTCTTAATTTTTGGCGAAGAAAAAAGCAAACACAGAAGATTGAAATAAATGAAATAGGGTCAACTCGATGAGAGAATTAGATCCAGCGACTCGTGCCATTGCTGTTCTTGTCTTGTTGAATTTTTGTAGTTTTTAGATTATATTACCCTGGTGAAGGCAACGAGAAAAAAGGAAGTATTAAGTAGTGCGTCCTTGACTTGCTGTATTCAAACAATTTTTGGAAAAATGAGATGCCTTTTAGATCCGACCCTATAATAAGGCTGCAACAAATAATGAGGACAATCGACGCAATCAAAGCAAGCTCCTTTTTATCAGCCATGTTTGTGCGACCTATTTCAACTAGACTTTAAAAGTTGGAAAAGAAACAATGTGATAAGAGTTGGTATGAGCCTCTGCGCTTTCAGTTGACAGGCTACACTCATTTCATCTGTACCTTCCGGAATAACCATTTACTCTACCTTAGTACTGAAAGTCATTAACAGCACAAATAGGCACATAGAATGTCTGCTATTCAACAATGCAAATGTATATTAAAAAAGTTCGATCAACTCGAATACCGATGCTTAGCAGTTGGGGCATTGGTTTTGGGGAGTGTTCTGTTGTCCTATGAAATAACCGAACTCTCAATGTTTTGGCGGTTTGTAGACCTGCCAAAAGCCACGAGAGGCCCCTGGGCAGCTAACGAGCACGCACAAGACAGTTCCAAGTTCATATGTATGAGTGTAACTCACAGCATACAACTTGCACCCTGAAACTCCCAACACGCAACTCACAACTCGCAACATGCAACTCCCAAATTGCAACTTGTCACTCCCACCCTGCAACTCACACCTAAAGATAGACACTCGCAACTTGCAACTCAAAATCTACCATCCAGCTACTTGGCCAGAATGACAAACAAGAGAATGAGAGCAAGCCAACTTCTTACCCGTGCACTCTATCTTGCCAATATCGTATTCTATGAACTGGCCAGCACTTCCTACACCACCGAGGCTTATCTCCGTCAACGGTAAATCGCCCTTCGCCTCGACGTACCCTTGGTCGTATACAACGGTGTCCTTGATACCCGCGTCACAGTTGCAGCGGCGTGCACTATTTAAACATGACATATTGTATCCACAAGCACAGCCAAATCCATTAAAGGGTCCTCCTCCAAAATAGAGTAGATTCCTCTTGTCGCGTCCTTTAAGGTGTCCACAGCTATGGGACAAAAACTTGCTGTCCTGGCAGCTCAACTTAGTGTATTGCTTGCAACTAGCGGCTTTATCAATAAAAGAGGCAATAGTTGCTGCTTTGTTAACACCATAGTCAATCTGTTTCTGAAAACCATGGCAATTAGCTACGCCAGTTATGAGATCGTTTGCTCCGGTTTTAACATCAATCTCAGTCCACTCGGTTCCATCGCTCTTCTTTACACATTTGACATGAACAGCTTCTGTCATTGGACTTCGAAGTATCCAGAAATACTCTCTTTCTGGGAAGATTCTCAGTGCATTGTAACAGCTTGTAAAAGTATCTAAAAAGGAATTTTTCTAAAACAATTTGCTTGTCGGAAAATGGAGGAGAATTATTTTCAAAGAATAAGTTCTAGAAGATCGAAACTGAAAACTTTTTGAAAACTATAATCAAGCAATCGTTTGGTGGAACAAAATTTATCGATGGTTTTAAAAAAGCAAACTTTTTGTCCGAGTTTAAAAAGAAAAATTTGTGATCGGTATTTGTTCATAGACGTGGAACAATATAAGCCATCCAAGACATGTCGCTATTTTGGGATTTATGGGGTACGATACGATGCCACCAACATCACTACCTCATTCTAGAATGTATTAGTGACTAGAGCTGGTACCTAGTCATGTACAATATGGAGCCCTCTTCAAATAAGCCAACTTTTAATTATTATTCCAATGTTAAGGAAAAATGAAAGAAATTTGCATTCTAAATGAAAGTTGATTTCATAAAAATTCTTTACCAGATCTGAGTGTACAACAATTTAAGTCAGAGCATATAGAATTTAACAAAACGAAAAAGGTTCTGGCTATAAAACCATAATTTGTTACCTCTGCATTGCAGCTTTCCGATTGTATGATAGCCATACTCAAGTGAACTAGTACCAGAATCACCAAGCCAAATAGCTGTTATGGGAAGGTCTGCTCTCTTTGTAACAAACCCTTTGTCTTCTGTTGAAGTTGCGCTGTTGCTATCGCAGTTGCATTTGAGTTTCGGATTAACGCAAGTCCCTGTAAATCCACAGTTACATCCTACATCTGAAGCCGGGCCTCCTCCAAAGTAAGCGAGTTTTTTCCCATCACGTCCAATAAGAGCACCATTATTAAGAGATATAAATGCTGTATTTACGCATTCGTACCTGGTGTACTGCTTACATGTGGAAGAAGCATCAATGAAAGCCTTGATACTATTCATATCATTGTAAGCGTAATTGATTGATTTCTTGTACGAATATGCCGTTTCATAACCAGTCACAAACGTTCTTGTTTCAGCATCATGGTCAAAGTTGGCCCATATATTACCATCACTGTCCTTTTGGCACTTCACGTAAACAGCTTTTGTTGAATGTGGATATTTAATCCAGTGAAAGTGTCCACTGTTTGGATATTCTTGCAAGGCTTCTCTACAGGATGGAAATGGCTCTGTACGAAAAAAATGGCAATTGTTCAACAAGTTAACCCAAAGAAAATCTTCAAACGAAGTAAAAACGTATACATTTCTTCAACATATGATGGAAACTTCAAAGGAGCAAAAGAAACCAATGGTTACATGGAGAAAATGTTTACTGGTTTACCTATGCATTCCAGCTTTCCGATGGTGTAATAGCCGTAGCTTCCTGCAATTGAATTACCCAAGTAGATCATTGTTAATGGAAGAACGTTTTTATCAATGATGTCACCAGAGTCCGTCAACATAGTTGCAAGGTTGGCATCGCAGTTGCATTTGTATGTATTATCTCTGCATGTGCCTGTTGTCCCACATGCACAACCAGTGCCACCAGATGGGCCGCCTCCAAAGTAACTGAGTTTCTGGCCATTGCGACCTCTAAGATAGCCCCAGTCTCCATTGAAAAGCTAGGAATATGAAGGAAAAAAATTAATGGTGTTTAATGAAGATGATCTGGTGACCTATTGTTATTGATCACATATAGATAAAATCAGCAAAAGGTTGTTCTAAATAATAACAATATAGCATAATAATGATTCTTTTCAAATCAGACTTCTCAAACAGGGCACTAATATTAAATTGGGTTGCACACTTAAAATTTTTGAAACAACTGCCTGCAAAGTCAGTGGTGGCGCCAGGGGAGGGCTAGTGGGGCTACAGCCCCTCCGTCGGAAGCATCTAGCCCCCCCCCCCATCGGAGGAAATTTTAGGTTATTCTCGGAGCAAATTTGACAAAATAACGTACGAAAACTGCTTATTTTAGTCAATTTAGCCCCCCTGTCGGAAGCTCCAACCCCTCTGTCGGAAGATTTCTGGCGCCACCTCTGTGCAAAGTATATCTTAAGTTTGCTTCATCTGACAACATGACTATATCCTAAACTATTAATTGATCACATCAACACAGATTAAAATCCCTGCAATTTTTTCGCTTAACCTATTTCCCTATTTCATCGTTTTCTTTGACTTCATTTTAAGTTGTTTTTCAAAACTTACATTTAACTACGTTACAAAAATCAATTTTTGATAATTTTCTATCTTGAAGGTGTGAAATTTGCAAACATGCTTGTTTAGATTTTCTGGCTTTTCATTTTAATTGGAAGCATTGAGAATTCGAGTCACTTCAAGAGATGCAAAGTATGCTGGATTCTGCTGCATAAAACTTAGATCACATTGCAGAGCTTTATTGACGATTTCTTCGATTACTATATTTGAAGAAGATTGTAACCTGTCCGGCTTCATTATTTGTAGTGGAATTGCTCAGGGGCACAGTGGGAGCTAACATTTTGAGAGGCGAAGCTGAAAAGGTTTCGACAAAGCTAAGATTTTATCGAAAATACTTTTTCTCAAACATCCATTGAAGAATGGTTTGGACAGTTTTACCTTCATTCCGTAGCACTCAAGTTTAGTGTGCTGTCTGCAACTTGCTGCTGCGTTAACAAATTCTATTACATCTTCTAATTTGTTCAGTGTGTAGCCGAGATTTCGGTAGTATGATGCTTGAGTTGCATAGCCAGACACGTATTTCCTTCCTTCATTGTCATGGTCAAAAGAGGCTCGAAAAAAACCATCCTTGCCTTTTTCACATCTAACGTACACTGCCGATTTCATTCCTTCCAGTCTTATCCAGTGGAAAATGCTACTTTCTGGAAATGACAACAAGGCTTCTCTGCATGATGGAAATATCTCTGTATGTAATAAAGATTAAATTTTACCGACATTGGCTCTTAATGTGACAAAGACAAAAACAGCACAATTTTCCTATATCAACCAGCAACCTCTATATAATTTTCACTCCAATTTAAGAGTATGTGCTTTTTTGCAATTTATTTCAGCATTTGCCACAAACTTATTTATATTTACGCATATATCAACTATATATATATATATATATGATAAAAATTTACTCTTTACCGGTCTGTCTCAAAGTGCTCAATGGCGTATAGGTAGAGTACTCCGGGCATCATCATCGAGCATTATCAGGCAACAGCATCATCAAGCGAGAAATTAGAGTAGCAACTAAAAACCGTTCTGTTCTTTACACAAAATAGCGAGTAAATACATACCTATATAAATATATATAGCATAGAGTTGGAGAAAATAAAATGTTTTATCTCTACAAGACTGTTTCGTGAATAGCTCACTCTTCAGGAGATGTTGATACACTGAAATATTCCTCGTATAAATACATAAGTCGGTACAGAAGGTGTTACATAATGTGTGAGGCTATACAAAAGGTGAATTAGAGGCGGTACATAAAAAGGTTTAGGTGTTACATAATAATGTTTTGTTTCTATGGCGGCAAGAAGATACGAGTTCGTTGCGTATGTTGAGTGTCGATAATTCAGGGTGGCAGATGATGAGGGTCTTTTCTTTAAAGGCATAGAGTCCTGGTAAATAGGCTTTCTCTATAGGGGGTCATTTGGTTTCGGCGTGATCGCTGCTATTTCATGTGTTGACCAGTTCAAGGTCAACCAATAGCATCGCAGTCATGGAAATCATGACTCAGCGGATTTTGGCACTTAGGGTATACCCAGTCTATTTATCATGACTCAATGCCTTTAAGGCAAAGGTTGCATCTTTTGCTTGAATTATGTGATATCTGTATCTTGTCTTGATTTCGTTTTCTGTAAGTCCTACCTACGTATGTTTCTGTAGTGTTGTTCTCTCTGCGTGTGACGGTGGCTTGGTAAATGACGGATGATTGTAGGCAGTTTCCATTGAGTGGACATGTGTTCTTTGTCGGCAGTTGTATGTTTTGGTGATATTGGTGTTTTCCAGAGTGGTGGTGATGTCGTGTGTGTTTAGGACGTGTTTGTTGTGACTGTCAATGACTTGCTTGATGTTGTTCATGCAGCTGTAACTGATCTTTACTGTGTACATATATATAATATAGAACTTTGTCTGTTGATATTTCCGTAACACAGTGCTCAATACGTTTGCACGTAGAGCGTGATATAGCCGACAGGCTTGTTTTCGTCAACTCCAAGCCATATATATATAATTTATAGAGTTTGTTCAAGCGCGTCGTTTGTTCAAGCACCCTTGAATAGACTATCTTTGTCATCACCAAATTTTATTATATTTGGAAGAAGTAGGAACAAATGTATGTGACGAGAAAAAAGATGAAATGGATGGATAGATGGATTGATGAAATGGACAAATAACAGCAAAGGAAAGATTTGAAAACGGATTCAAAGAGAAGAAAACTTTGAGTGCAAGGAAAAATGAAAATGTACTCCATAGAGAGCCAGTGATGAATGCAGAAATGAAAAATGAATGCGAAATGACAAACTGTAACAGAGATAAAAAGAAAAAGATAAAGTCAACAAATTAGAATAACAGTCAATGTAATGGTAATAGTGAATGTTGGACAATGTCAAAGAGTGGAGAAACAACGCGTGATAGAAACTTAGGATATAAAGAGACCATCAGCAACCGATCAGAAGACGTAGAAATAAAGAGAGCCTAAAAGAAATTATATAAAGCAAGTGAAAGAAAGAAATTGATACCGAAAAGGTGATAGAGGATGCCCTGAAGCAATATAAGAAAACACTTGGACCAGGTCATTTTAATCACATCACAACATCCATTAGAATTACATAACATAGAACTGAGAACTAGCTGGGTGTGATACCAGCATTAACATTGCTAAAATATCAAAAGTATGACGTTGTTGGGAATGCAACCAAAGCTTCCTGGCTACGCCACTGTTAAATGTCATTACCTGGACCGTAACACTGACACTCGTAGCTTTCACAGGTATCCACGCAAGTACAGTGGCTTGGGCAGGGATTGGTCGTAAAACTTGCACATCGGGAACCAACCTTTGATAAAAACATAGCAGAAACTAAAGTATGTAACCAAAACAGTTACCGGCAAATAAATTTAAACATTATTTGCATTAAAAACTTTAATCTTTGAAAAATAACAGCCCCTAAGGTTTTAGAAGAAAAAAACATTCTAAAAAGTTCTTAAATTGCTCATAGAGAAGCAAATTTAAGAGAGAAGCATCCCAGAATCTATTTTTATTTAATCTCCAATCCTCTGCCTTCTAAATGTATTTGTGATAGGGCATTTTCTCCGGAATTTTACCTTATAAACTCCACTTGCTCCAATCTTGTATCGTTAACATTTCGTTGTACTAGTGCTTCGTAATAAAATCACAACAAAGTGACCTTATTCTGCTGTAGAAAGAGGATTCTAAAGGGGAATATAGGCTACTAATTTCATACCGTGCGCGATATTTCCTTGCTTCCTGTGTCATAGAAATTCCATCCTTTCTTCGCTATCATCTTTTTTGGTTTTGACATGTGATCGTCTTTAAGCAAATGGCAGTCGATTTTATTATCACTGCGTTGATGCGTGTTCATTGCCACACATTTTGCAACGCTGACGCATAAGTTGATGCATTCTACCAAATCTTTTGTGACGTTCTTTGCAATTGGCACTTCATCGAGTATATGGTCGCTTGCAATACGATAAAACGCCGCATCACTACCGCATGCACCTTTGAAAATTCTACGAGCTCCCCCTATGCTTATCAAATAGAGAGCTGCTAAGACTGCAAAACCTAGTTCACTAGACATTATCCAAACTGGCTTGTCATTAAATGCCATGAAATGAAAGGGCTGTAATGATTTCCAGTGAGTAATGAGCTTCAAGCTCACTGAAACAAACAATGCTTAGTTCTGGCAAAAATAAACCATAAAAATATGACCACCCTGAATTTTTCACTTCTGAAAGGAGCCCGGTGAGTTTTTCGAAGCAGTATGGTAATATCTTATTAATAATGATGAGTATGGATGCATTCTTTTGAAAGGCATATAACAAGCAGAGCTTCGAATACTGAATTGCTATAGTAGAATGTGTGGCGTCATGGCAGCCTTTCCTTGTGGCAACCCAGGGTGTCTCGAGATCTTCATTATACGTTTGTATTTTGTATTGAGATAATGCAAGAACCTTGAGAAAGCTCGATAATCATTCATAAGATTTTATTCTCACTTCAAATTAAAAATTCTTTGATACACGAGATAAAGAAATAAGAGCATCAAAAAGCTGACCTTGACAATTTCTTATGGCTGAACATAATTGGCAAAAGTTTGCAGCCGGACAAAGCTTCAGAGGATGGAAAGTTAGTCCTGATATCCCCCTATATGATTAAGATAAGCATAATCAGCATATTAATACTTGGATATTGCCTCATGTCCTATCCGCTAAAAGATCAGTGTTGACCCAATGCTTCAGCATTGAAAAGCAACAGTAATTTATCATATTTTTCTTATTTTATCGCGAAAATGATAAAAAAATACTCATTTCCCGATGATATATCCAATAATTCATTAGAGTAGCGAGAATGTCAACGAGCATTATAAAGATTGACGACACAGAAGTGACTTTAGGCTTTTGCACTATTTACTATGTATCTAATTTACAATATCGTGGAATTTTTCCTTAAATTCTAACAATATAAATGCAATGCCAACTTCATACTTAAAGCAATATTGTTACTATTCTGTGCTATACTCTGATTCTAAACGATGAATCGTCGTCAGACAAATTAAATTGCTTAAAGAAGTGAGAATATTTTTATTAAATCTCTATAGAACAAGTGCAGATTGTTCTTAACAAGTATAGAATAATACATACTACTTATATAACTAATACTTGCCTTTAACAAAGGAAGTACTATAGTAAAGTTTTGCTTGAAATCATAGCCTTTGAATAATCTAATTCTAATACTGGCTTTCGAAAGCCTCTTCACAATTTTGTCAAAACAGAGTGGCATTCATTATTAGTTAACATAGCGGCTTATGCGTACCTTTAAAAAGGTTTTGATACCAAATACAGTTTATAAACTATGTCATTAAATATTTTCATGGCTTTGGAAGGATCAAAAAAGTGTTCTGAGGCAAATTATTTCTACATTAAATTTTTATTGCTGCTGTTAGACCGAGATTTGTCCTTATAATTTGCAAAAAACAGGTTATATGAACAAATGTCAGGAATTCTATAATTAGGTTCCTGGTAATGTTACACTTTGGTACTTTTTGGGGCCAATCAATAGCAAGAAAACATGCCAAAATAGATTCTCTTCATCTATTTTCTAGCTTACCTATACCTTTTTTACTGGGAATTATCCCTTAACGAAAATAGTTTTGAAAGCTCAAATTTGAAACTTTTACGTACTCTTACAAGGACATAACGTCTAGGAAACAGGGAGTTGATTAGCTTGTAAGTATAATGTACAATTTCCCATTTACATGCATTGTTATTCTTATATGTCCAGGAAATCATGACAGATGCCATGCTAAACCCGAACACATAGAAACATCTTTTTACTCAACATTCATCGAAGCTCTTGATCCATACGCCAGACAGATATGCTTCTACGTACGCTACAAAAGACTCAACTTTGCAAACTTTCTGTTTAAGTCGAGAAACTTTAAATAGGGGGTTAGGATTTCAGAGAAGCTCTAGATCTGGACATGGCCAGACAGAGAGTAAACAATTTCTGCAGCAATTGACCAGTTACATGAGAATCTTTTGGCAAAATGTTTTGGGAAAAATGATTGCGTACCAATCATCTAGATAAAGATCTTCTAATGAGTTCGGTTGAACGCCGGACTCTCTATTCTCTCTACCATCCCCCCCCCTATAATCGCCTGCACAACATAACTGAACATTTTGACCTAACGTATTTGTTGATGCTATCATTGAAATAAAATGCGGCTTCAACTTTTTATTTGAATAACAGGTACAGTGCATTTTCGTGCATATGTTGGTATTTATGCACTCGCTTCTTGGCATTCAAGCTTCCCAATCGTATAAAAGGCATACTCGGAAGATGCTCCAGTGTCTCCCCACTGTATCTTTGTTATTGGCAGATCGTCTTTGAAAGTTACGTAGCCTTCATCAAACGTCAAAGTATCAGAATTAGCATCGCAGTTGCATTTTTTTGTGCTTGCTAGGCAGCTGTTTGTGATTCCGCAAGCGCAACCGGAGCCGTCGTGCGGCCCACCGCCAAAATACCGTAAAGCCTTGCCATCTCGCCCCAAAAGTCGGCCACAGATTGTGCCTAATCCATCTACAAATGTCGTGCCTTTACAGTCAACACGCGTGAACTGTCGGCAAGATGCTGAAGCACTTACAAACCCAACGATATCTGCAATTTTGTTAAGCTTATACACGAGTGCATGCTGATATGACAAGCAGGTCTCGTATCCTGAGATATATTTTTTGAATTCACTGTCATGACTAAAGTAGGCCCACACTGTTCCGTCTGACTTCTTCTCGCATTCAACAAAAACAGGTGAAGACATGCTACCCTTTCTGATTGAAAAATATTGCTTCGTGACAGACGGAAATGCTTCGAATGCCTTGGTACACGATGGGAATGTTTCTAAGTGAAAGAATGACAGAACTTTGTTAAGTAATTTAGAATGTTGGTAAGAGTTTAAGTAAAAACAGAAAAATCTTGAGGTTAATACTGATGTATCGTTACTGTTCGATGTACAGAAATGAATCCAACCTACCACTGCACTGGAGACTTCCGATTGTGTGATAAGCATATTCGTTGCTCGCATCTGTATCACCCATTGCAATTGCAGTTAATGGTAAAAGCTGCTTGTTAGTTTCGTAGCCTTCGTCGTGGTTTAACTCTGCTGTATTTATATCACAGTTACACTTTTTATCTCTGCTCACGCATGTTCCTGTTTTTCCACAAGAACAACCAAAAGTCCCTTCTGTTCCCCCAGGAAAGTGGTCCAGCCGTTGACCTTGATGTAGCGAGAAGATAAATCATCATTTTACAGAATCTCATCAAGATTAGAGCTAGACATAGACGCAAAATAGACGCATTTCAGTATTATTGCCTAGCGAACCTAGTCTGCAGGCAGGCTAAGGAAACCTGATGGAATATGGTCAATAGGCTTGTCAATTTTGCTACACTTTCGCAAATTTAAGAATGACAAGGTGCTAAAATATCTAGTTCATTAACTTTCTGCTTTAAATCAGGATCCCATCTACAAGAACGGTTGCTTATAACCGCAAACCAACTTGTATGTAACTGTGACTTACGGCATACCAAAATAAATGCGTTTACAAACCTTTCCTGTCAAAAAGTGCCAAATATTGGTTACCCTCGTAGATTATCGCAGTTCCATGACAGTCAACTCTTACATGCTGCTTGCACTGGAATGATGAATTGACAAAGCCTATGATACTTGGCATTCCATTGTAGTATCTCAGGTTCTGTTTATAAGACAATGCAGTGTTGTATCCTTTGACATACTTTTTTGCTTCATTGTCGTGTTTGAATATTGCCCAAACAACAGAATCAATCACTTTGCATTGGACGCTTACTGGTTCTGACGATGTCTCAGGTTTAATGAAGAAATTAACTTCACTTGGAAACATCAGCAGTGCCTCTGTGCATGACCTAAATACGTCTAAAAATGAATATTTTTTTTCTTAATTTTTGGCGAAGAAACAAGCAAACAAAGAAGATTGTAATAAAGAGGATAGAGTCAACTCGCGATGAGAGAATTTGTGCAACACAAAGCATCTATGATTATATTCACGTGTGATTTCTTGCTATGTTAGATTGTTGGTCAGTGACTTTTGCAGTGCCGGTATTTTCCTGACTTTGGTAGTTAACAAAATTTAATCTTGTGAAAGCAACAAGGGAAACAATATAAATTGATATTGCAACTTTTTTTAGTATATTCAAAACATCGAATATTCAGATTATTTTCAGAATATACCCTATTAAAGGCTGCAACGTAAATCAATAAGTAAATAAATAAGGAATGGCCACGCATGTTAATATAAAATTAAAGAAAGACCTTTTTTGTGAATCTTTTCCGGGGACTTTATTTTTACAAGGTTTAAGAAAACGCGTAAGAAAACTTAGCAAAGGAATTAAGTGATAAAAATTCGTTGTGGTCCTGCAATATTCTAATTCTTATCAAATAATGATACTTGTAGATTTTTAAATAACTTCTTTTCGGAAGAGATAGGTTCATACGCAAGAAAGCTTCTATCGCACAAAGCCAAGTCAACCTTCCAGTTCTGTTGCAATTCTAAATACCAAAGTTCTGTTGCCCTTTTATAGTCCAGTCACTCTGTTGTTTGGCCTGGATTAAATTGCAACAGAAATGGTTTCAAGTGTTTTGAGTTCCTTATTCTACCGAAAACAACATAGCAAAAACTTACCACAAAGGGTTGAGGCAATTTCCCAAAATACCAATGCTCATTTTGAGAGGTAAACCCCAAAAGCTTTCCTTTATTTTCAAAAATATTGAAAGATCTAATATTTGCACACTACAGTGCTATAGTTATAATTTTGCAATTTTAGTGAAAAAATACTTTCGATATAGGAAAGGTATTTTAAAAATAATTTTAGAGAAATTCTTATTGTAATTTGATCCAAAATGGTTGCCTTAAATTCAAGATGGCTGCTGTTGTTTGGGAAAAATGCTACCCTTCTTTGCAGCATCTGGTCATTCACTTTACGCCAAGTCTGCTCACATCTATCTACAAAAAATGTCAAATCTTCAGGAAACCCATCCAAATGTCTATGTAAAGTTTCAGCAGAGGTATCATGTTGTCAGAAGAAGTAACCGTTTTCGGGCAGGACTTTCAACTAACCTTGTGATTGAACAAGTTCTAATGAGAAGTTTGAAAACAACTGGCGAACTCACTCGTGGGGGAGGGATGACCGAACTTCGAAGAGCAATTTGGCTCTGCTAAAAACCTGCCTGTGCTGAAGTAAATCGTGCGATGCAAGAAGTTACAAATGTTGCGTATGAAACAAGAGAACAGCACGAAGAAACATCTCAAGCACGTATCAAGAGATTTCGAGGATGCAAGGAAAATGTTAAAGTATGTAACTTCAAGAAATCCGTTTGACAACCGTAAGGAGCTTACAAGCATTGACACAGAAGAGGTTGCAATTTCTGCTGTCAATGTAGATGATGCAAAGAAAATCGGGAAATGTATTTTAGAATCAATGTATTCATGTCTAGAAGTGAAGTTGGAGAGTATACGTTTAAAAGGAAAGACATTGTCATAACCATGAAAGCAAGATCAAGCATCCAAATAGATGGTGAAATAATTTCTATCGACCCGCTCTTGATGTTTCAACGTCTAATAACAGCTGTCAGAGGTCTTGGATCAGAGCTAGACCTAAAGACAGCTTTTTAGTATGGGTTATTCACATTTCCTCCTTCTCTCGTCGAAAGTGATGGCTTATTAAGAGAGGCAAACAAACCTCAGATAGCAAACTCTTTTTGGTCTTTAATTGGACCTGATGTTGACTCGTTTTCAGAGGATCCTTTTTATGTCCTTGATGGAGGCTCCTTACTTCACAAAGTAATTTGGCAAAAAGGAAAAACGTACTATGAAATCTGCGACAACTATGTAGACTATGTAATCAAACATTATGGTGAAGGAACAACAGTTGTTTTTGATGGTTATGATGACAAGCCCTCGACAAAAGATATCACCCATCTCCGTAGAACCAAGGGGAAGCAAGGTTTATCTGTACATTTTTCAGGTGAAATGAAGCTGAATATGAAGAAGAATGAATTCCTTACGAATATCAATAACAAAAAACGCTTCTTAGAGATGCTTGTGACTAAGATGAATGAGTCAAATCTTCATGCTATCCAATCAACAGGTGATGCAGACCTCTTGATTGCCCATGCAGCCATCGATTCAGCGTCAACACGTCAAACAATTGTCATTGGAGAGGATACTGATCTTCTAATGCTGCTACTTCATCATGTAAATTTGGATTGCAATGACATATTTTTCACATCAGAGCCAAAATAAAGAGCCAGAGGTCCAACAAAGTTTTGGGACATTAAGTATTTGAAATCGAAGCTAGGACCAGCATTATGTGAGGCAATTTTATTTATCCATGCCTTATTAGGTTGCGATACCACTTCGCGCCTTTTTTCAATTGGCAAAGGTGTAGCGCTGCAGAAGTTCAAAAAAGAAGAACGATTCCAATTCCATAGTGAGACGTTTAGCAGACCATCATCGACAAGAGAAGAGATCATTGCAGCAGGAAAGGAATTGTTGCTTATTGTTTATGGTGGAAAAGGATGCACGACACTCGACAAGCTTTGTCTCACAAGGTTCTGTGAAAAATTGCCACAAGTATGAAAATGGTATCACCAGAAAGCTTACCTCCAACATGAGCAGCCACGTCATTCCATTCCATGCGTATCTATTACCAAGTTCAAGTCTGGCAAGGAAGAGACGATCTCAATCCAGAAGACTAGGGCTGGGTAGCCAAAAAAGGGAAACTCTTTCCACTTTATACCTCGAAGCCTCCTGCACCACCTAGTTTGCTAAAGCTTTTCAGGTGCAATTGCAAGTAAGAGTGTAGGAATTCCAGGTGTACATGTTACAAGAATGGACTTAAGTACTCAGGCATGTGTGGTGAATGTTGAGGAGTTTCATGTATGAACTGCCAAGATCCTGGGGAAATTGACACTGATTTGCAAATCGATAATATTGTTTAAAATTGCTGTTTAATATGCTGAATTTTTGAGTGACGTTCAACTTCTACTTGAAATGTACTCTTTTGCCAAATTTGGTCTTGACCAAATAAAAGTTGGATTATTCAAATCTTGTGACACACTAAATAGACAAGTGACGTCATAGAAACAAAATAGTAAGTGACGTCATCAATTTTTGCATAAATTTAAGGATAATTTGATACTTAATATATAAATGCAACGTTTTAAGTTAGTCGGACTTGACACGCAATAGTTATGGT